ATATTATAATAAATTTTTTTTATTATAATAAAAATAATTTTTTTATTTTATATAAAACTTTAAATATTTTAAATATAATATTTTTTTTATAATAATTAAAAAGCATTTTTATAAAAATATTATAATTAATTAATGTATTTATAAAAATATTTATAATGTTAAATTATTTTAATTTTAAATTAAAACATGTTATAATAATTATTAATGTTTAAAAAAAACGTTTAATTAATATTAAAATATAAATTTTTTTATTATTAATTTTTTATTATTAATCTTTTTTAATTATTAACCTCGTTTTACATTTAATAAATTTTTTATATTTATCGGTTTTATATATATATATTTATATATAATTAAAAATTTATTACTTTTAATACCTTAAGTTATATTTAAGAATTTTTTTTTATATATTTATTTTTTTATAATTTATTAAATATATTTATTTAATTTTTTTAAATAAAATTTTTATAAAATATTTTTTAACTTTAATATAATGTTTAAATAAAAGTGGTAAATGTTTACGATATAATTTTTTAAAATTCTTTAATAATTTTAAAAATTTTATTTAATTAATATTATTTTTATTTAATGTGCTTACTTTATTTCTTAACTTATTAATATTAAATATTATATATTAAAGAAAAAGTTAAATAATTAATTTATAATAAAATTTATAAAGTTAAAAATAATTAATTTAAATAATTATTATAATAACATAAATAAATTTATTTTAAAAATTTATAAAAATAAAAGAAATAAAAATTAAAAAAGAATTTATTTATGGTTTAAAATTAAATAATTAATTAAACTTTTATCTTTAAATTTTACGTTTATTTTTATGGTTTTTAATTATTTTATTTTCTTTTATTTTAATTATTATATTATTCGTTATTATATTAATATTTTTAATATTATAAATTTTTTTATTTTTAATATAAATTTTATAATTATTATTTTTTTTTTTAAAAAAATAATATATTATTTATAAATTTATAAAAAGTTTTTAATTATATTTTATAATTTTTAATATTTACTTATAATAAATCATTTTTTAAATTATTTATATTTTTTAAAAATAAATTATTTTCATTAAATATAATATTACGAATAACGATAATTTTATTAATTATTAAGTTTTATATATAATAAATATTTATAAAATTATAATTAATTAAATATTTTATTTATATTTATAAATTTAATTTTTATAATTTATTCCGTTTTAATTAAATATTTAATATTATTACGAATGTTTTATATTTATATATTTTAAAATGGGTTTATTTTAATTTTTATTTCGTTATTAAATTATTATTACGTTTAATTATAAACGTATAAAAACGTTTATATAATAATTTTTAATTATAAATATATTTAAAAATATAATTATAAAAATATATTACGGATTAATATATTTTTAATTATAAAAATGTTAATAATTTAACTTTTAATTTTATTACTTACGTTTTTATTTTAATTATATTTTTTAAATGTTTTATTATTTTATTTTATTTTTAAGTATATAAGGTAAAAGGTTTAAATTATATATGTATTTTTTCGAAAAATTATTATATTTTTAATTTAATAAATGTTAATTTATTATTATATTTAATTATTTTTAATTTAAATGTGTGTTATTATTTAAAGATTTTTAATAAATGTTTAAAAGCGGTGTTAATATTTTTTATTAATTTTTTTTATAAATAATAATTTTAAATGTAATTTAATTATTTATTAATAATAAATATAAGGTTTTTATATTTATTAAAACTTTTTTTAAAAGGATAAAAATTAATGGTTAAATAAATTCCGGGTTTATTTTTAATTAATTATTTTTTTCTTTAAATTAACCGTTTAAACTTTAATATTTTATATACGTTATATTTAATAATAATTAAATTAATAATTTTTATTTTTTTAAAATTATTAATTAAATGTTTTAACGTTCGAAGATTAAAATGTTTTAATTAATTATATTATTTAATGGTATTATTTTATTTCGTATTTCGTTTAAATTTAAAATTTATTTTTTTAATTTAATTATAAAATGAACCTTTTATTATTTTATATAATATATTTTCCATAATAAATTAATTATGTTAATTAAATATTTTATATAATATAAAATTATTTATTTTACGGATATATATTTAATTTTTTTAATTATTTTATTAATATTTTTATTATTATAATAATTAAAAAAATATTAAATTATATGTAAAGTTTTTATAATAAATTATATTATATAATCGTATATATTAATAACTTTTTAAATTTTTAATGTAAATATTAATATTATTATATTTTAAAATTTTAATTCGATTATTTTTTATAACGATTATATTTTTTTTTAACATTTTTCGGAAATTTCGGAATTAAAATTATTTATTAAAAATATGGATAATTATATTTAAATTAAATATTATAAAATGTATAAAAAAATAATAAAAAATTATAAACGTTGTTTAAAATATAAAATTAATTACGAACGTAATTATTATTTATAATATCGTTTTTATTATTTTTTAAATTTAGTTAAAAAGTTAATTATTTTTTTTAATTTTTTTAATTATTTTGTTTTAAACTTTTATTTATATTTTAACGGTAGTGGGTTTATTTTTAACGGGTGTGTTTTATTTTTTTTTTTTTTATTTTTTTTTTAATTTAATTAATTTGTTTTTATATTTTTAAATGTAATTTAATTTAATTTTAAATTTTTTAATTTACTTTTAAATATAAAATAAAATAATTTAATTTATTATTTTTAAAAATATATTAATAATTAATAAATTTATATAAACTTAAATATGTTATATATATTTAATTATTTTATTAATTATTATTAAGTTTATACTTTTTATTAAAGTTATTATATTTTTTATTAAAATAATTTTTTTTATTTTTTTTATTTTTTTTTTATTATTATTTTTTTTATTATTTTTATTATTATTTTTATAAATTAATTTAAATAATTTTTTTATTATTTAATTTTTTAATTAAATTATTATTATTTAAATTTTAATTCGGAAAAAATTCGCGATATTATAAAAGTTTATTAAATTATTATTAATATTTTTTTTATATATAATTTAATAGAATATTATTTAATTAAATATTTAAGTTTTAAAAGCTTTAATAAAATTATTAAATTATTTAGAATTATTTTTAATTAATAAAATATTTTTTTTTATTATTTTATTTATAATTTTTTTTTATTATAATATTTAAATATTTTAATTTTTTAATAATTTATTTAATAATTTAATAATTTTATAATATTTATTACGAATTATTATTCGAAGTTATATATTATTTATTTTTATAAATTTTTTTTAAATTAATATATTATATTTAAATAATATATTAATATTATTTAATATATTTAAAATTTAAGTTTTTTAATTTTTATTTTTTTATTATTATATTTTTTTATTAAATTTTTATAAATGTTAAAATTAAAAGTATATATTTATAATTAATATTTAATTATATCGTTAATATTTTAATTAACGTTTTTATTTTTTTTTTATAAGTTTTAAAATTAAGTTTTTAAAGTTTAATTAATTATTTATAATTTTAAAAATTATATTTTTTTTTATTAAAAAATCTTTATATTTTTTTTTAAATATTTAAATTATTAATTTTTATTTTAAAAATATTATTCCATAATTTTTATTAATTAAAGTTTAATAAAATAACGGAAATAATATTTATATTAATTATAATGTTATTTTATAAAATTTATATTTAATTAAATAAATTAAATTATTTAAATTATTAAATTATTATTTAATTTTTAATAATTTTTTAACGTATAAAATTTTTAATTATTAAAATAACGTAAAATTTAATAATTTAATTAATTATATAAAAAAAATTTTATTTTTTTAATTTAAAAAATTATAACTAAAATTAATTATAAAATCTTTAATAATTTTTATATTATGTTTTAAAAAAAATTACGTAAAAGTTAAAAATTTAAAAACATTAAAACATTAAAACATATGGACTACCTGATAACACTAAAATTATGAAATTATATCTGATAACTTCCCCTTAATTTCTCCAACCAACATGAGCAAGCATGGTGCGCGCGATATAACTGGGCGGAGCCGGTAAGGTACCGTAGGTATAGATGCGAATGGAATTTGAAAGATGTTGATTTTGAGTTCCAAGTCCGATTCGACAATCCAAGTCAGGGGTAGCACAGGATAACCCAACTTTGCTTAGCGACTTCGAGTTTATGCATATCCTAAAAAGCTTTAAATGCTGCTAGAGAGGTGGGGTCTTTACTAGGTATTCGTGAGTGAAGAGCTTAATTCGCTGACATCAACGGCATCGTATTTATAGGTATGTACCGAATAAAAAGTAACAATTCCAGGTAGGTAAGTATCTTCCGATTTAGGTTCTAGAAACCTTCAAATATCAGATCGAATATCAAAGCACAAATAGCGACAGGTACAGATAAACTGAACCACAATGAAGCAAGACTCATAAGCCGTTCTAAGGTAATCTCCGTCTTGGCTGAACCTCTTTAAACCCTAACATCCCATAGGCCAGGCTTTGTGTAACTACGAGCCATCACCGCCACCTATTTCGACTCAACACTTGTGGCACGTCATCAACGGAAATGTTTCCGCAGTTACGGGAGGTGCCGTGGAATACTTCATGTACGCAGATACCCATATACAACAGTCCGAAAGAAGCAAGCCTTCAATATAGATGATAAATTTAATATTGATTCCATAAATATACAAATCGTGTTAACAAACACGACAGATAGTAGCATATGGCTCAAGATTCGTCTTACCCCTAATAGGAGCAAATCAAGTCACCCCCCAAGAATAACTTCGTAAGTCAATACCCAACCGCGACGCCAGCGCTTAAGTCCCATATCATGGGGTATACAAAAACATATACGCCACACATTTTCCCTTCCTGCGGCAGGCCTCACACGGCACAGCCTAGTACTAATACAATGAAGCCTGCAGCCTCCAATGTTAATGCAATATGCCCTTCTTTCCCCTATCGAACTCTTTCGGTATCGCCTCGAGAGCGTTTCTCCACCTGGCATGCGCGATATCCGCTTGGACGGTATCACCAGCTTCCCTATGCCAATGCTCCAGCCGCTCTAATTCACCAAGCAGATATCCCATGTCGGGATCCCATTTGCCCTCCATGACCGACACGATCTGCTCCAAGTAGTGCACTGAAAGCTGGTGATTTGATGCCTTGGCAATCGGATCCTCGGCTAGGAAATATTGATGCCTGTGGTAATGTGCTAGCGAGGTAATTGCGATATAGACAAAGAATTCAGTGTTGTATGCGATGCTCTTCGTATTCTCAAGAACCGTATTGGCAAGTTGGAAAACGCGCTCGCTTTGCCACAGCGTCTGGTTTCCTAGAATCAACAGTTCGGTCGATTGGAAAACGGTGAGTTCTTCTATAGCTGTCGGCATAGGTCCCTGGACTAGTTTCCTGAAATCACAACGGCTTTGAAGACGGCGATAAGGTTGGGATCGGTACTGGTACGCCCGCGGAATAAACAATATAGGGTACAGCCTTGCTAATGTATCCGCTGGGAGACCCGAATGCTGTTCCTCGATCAATAGTAACTTTTCAGTGCACTCGAAAACGAAGTCCCAGTACTCTTCGTAGTCGTGAGTGCTCATATATTTCCATATTCCCTGGAAGAGTCGTGCTAAGGGGCCATCTGTTCGAATGGTTGCTGAATATGCAGCGAGATACCTCCACACTTCCTTGACGATCCCCTTGTTTGAAGCATCGAGCACAGTTATTAACAAGTGCAACAGCCCATATATCGACGGCTTTTTGAACATCAAATGCAAGGACTTAAAACCCGCTTCGCACATTGCGCCTCCTCTCTCGTAGTGTCCGACGGAGAACAGCCAGTCCGCATTGGTGATGTCCGTAATGGCGCAACGTACTTCGTCGCCACGATAATGTGCCGCGCACGCGACCAGCGGAGTATCAGGTGGACAATACCAATTCCAGGCCAGATCCCTCGCGCATTGCAAGACAAGCTCCTGTAATGAAAGATTGCCTGGGGCTTGGATAGGCTTGGGGCTTTCGGGGGGTGGTGTAAGACATCGTAGGTTCTCGGGAAGCTTCTCAGCCAAGCCGGGTTCAACGAGATCGTATTGGGAAATTCCTTTTCGCTTGAGGTAAGCATCGATTGCAACCTCCTTCCCGTTGCGATGAAATGCCGTACGCTTGCCGACGGCATTTCGTTGGCGCTGAACCTGAAGCATTGCCACGACATCCTTTTTGCTATTGTTCTTGCTAAACCCCCACTTGTCAAAGCGCGACTTATACATCCTCACACTGCCGACATCGTTAGTAAACAGAATCTAGATAGAGTTAGAATGACCCAATAGCTCACGTCGCTCTGAAACCTTTCTGGCGCATTATCGCCATGACTTCCTTTAGGGGTCTATTCTCATCGAGGTATAATCGTCTTATTTCGGCCTTGTGACTTTCCCATACTTGGGCCGAATGTTGCTGCGAAGGATGAGCTTCTCCGGTCTGCGAAGAGAAAACCGTCTGCATATGAATTGCAGTCGGCTTAACAGGGTCGGCATCGTATTTTGAGACGCTGCTGGTATCAGAGGGGCTAGTGTCGCCGGCGGGAGGAGTCTGCTCCGGGGAGAGGGTCTGCATGACCGGCGTCGATACCGACGGACTCCGGTAAGGAAGCATCATTTTGACGTTGGGGTCAGGCACATAATTATTGACGGAAAATGCGAAGTCGTTATGCATTTTGTTTATATAGTCCGGCAATTCCGAATACCCCTCCAGCTTGGCGATGTCGTTGAAAGAAACAGGACTATGGTCAATCTGCTTTGTTGCGCGCAGACGGCACAAGGATCACCTTCGTCTTAACCGGAGAATATTCTTAGGCGCTTAGTGGAAAAAGCAGAAGGGACGATGAGGATAATATGTTTGATAGGATAATATTATCGGTGCCTAAGTAGGACGAAAAAGCGCAATTTGAAGATGATAAGAATAACAGTACTGTTGGCGAGTAGAAAGAAGGGAAAAGCGCCATAAACGGTAACGAAGGACGAAGGCGGTAGAAGATATCAACTCGGGTATTTCGTAAGGTAAGGCAAGGTAGGGCTTGGGAAGGGGGTGGTATTCAGTGGTATTGAGTGGGGGCGGCTCGAATATTTAATAGGTGGTATTCATAGCGATCATAGCAGTCGCCTTAAGAACTCCAGAGATGCAGGAGAAAGACAAGGTACCAAGGTAGGTTAGGTCGCAGGATGCCTTGCATTGACGTAGGTAACAATACAGTAGTAGTAACGGTGGAGCGTGTTGGAAACGAAGCTGGTGACTCGGGGCTTCTTGGTGTATAAGTCGGTGGAGTGAGGTAGCTTCGCGTGCCTCTTTCGTCCTACGCTGGTACGTATAAGTCCGTAGCGCAAGATGGTTTTCTGATACCCGTTGGCAGTAATTCGTAGAATATCCTGCCGGCTACCCTAGGTATGGCAAGGGCACGTCCTGCATACTAAAAAGGATGCTAGGTGAGAAGGTGGGCCGCGAAGAGGGGGACAATGCTGGGGATGGATAAAGCTTGGCTAAAGACGCCGAGACCAAAGTGGCAGAGTGGGAGTAAAGCTGCGCTAGGAAAAAAGGGGAGAGGTAAGAGAGAGCGAGGAAGATGGCGAGATGGACATGAGCAGCATAGGCTGCATGGGATGGGAGGATGTGGAATTATGGGATGATGGATTAGGGAACGAAAATGGAAATGGAAATGGGATTGGAATTGGACTCGGATGCGATAGGCTAGATCATAGGATATGTATAAGTGGAACCACTGAGATGGGATGTTGCGCCTTTTTGCTCTTTTTGTCCGGTCGTCTTTCCTCCCTCCCTATTGAAACATTTTTTTTATTTTTTTTTACAACGCGCTTGCCCTGCTGTATCCCTTGCCTATCACTCTCTAGTACTAAGTACATAGTATGTAGCAACTTCCAAGGTTCAATTTAGGTTAGCTGGTTAGTAGCTACAAAGGGTACTATCCATAATATTATACATGCTATACAGTTTTCGGTCTTCGGTTTAGTCTACCCTGCATCTCCACTTTCGGAATTGACGGTATGGCAGATGTTTGATATTAGATGTTAAAACGGATTGGACAATCGAACGACATGTCGCAATCTATCTGTGCGTTCCTCCTGTTGCCGCGGATCCGTGGAGATTCCCATCAGTCAATGCACGACAATTCCCCAAAGCCACAACCGCTTCTTTTCTTCCAGAAGCTTTACAAAATGCGATTCCTTGCCGTGCTGAGACCCCAATCCCCAATCTTATGTATATGTACAGTCATCCCGCGACAGGGTTCCCGTCCTGCTTTTAAGGAAAGGCTACGGCTGATAGTGTCTGAATGTCAGACATCCATTCGGATACTACTTCGTACGTACGGGTAGGGGAGGGCTCTAGGTGCTCGGATTCGTCCATGGTGCTACTGTGTGGGTGGTACAGCAGTGCAATATCGCTGTGGACCACGTGGACCATCGATCTAGGACAGATGTCTAGGACTGTACCTAGGTACAGGTACAGCCCATGCTTACCTGCGCTGCTGCCGCAATTCTTAACCCCAGACATCGATGATCCAGTAACTGGGCAGTCCCTAGCAGCCCAGATACCACAGTACGTGATTGTATGGGTTATGCACGTTCGTGGCCCAGGTCACAGTCCTAGGCAAGTTACAGCAAGGTGGCATACACGTGGAGACGGCAGTTTCTGCGATCCAGCTTAAGTAATTGCGGCGATTATCCATTTCATCTTTTCAAGGTTCACTGCTTCGGTATAGTGTCGACTATCACTTCAAAAGAATTACCGAGACACATGGCATGGTATGGGATGGCATATGCCGTTGGATCTCAGAAGAAACAGTAGGAGCCGAGCTAGGGCTTTCCTTGCCTTGACACGAAACCGAATTTGGACTCGACTCGTAATCGCAACGATAATGATTTGTTAAATCAATTGATTAGAAATGATAGCTTTTCTAGTCAATTGGTTGGCTTTATGTGCTGGTGCCGGCTTCTTTGTTGGTAGGCTGCTTCTTGTCGTCTCTCTTAGTGAGGATCTCGTCTACTATGCCCATATCTTTCGCTTCCTGCGCAGTCAAGTACTTGTCGCGCTCCATCATATCTTCGACATCTTTAAGGTTATACTTCTCGTGGTCAAATGCCGCATTGAGATGTTTCCGGTAGATCTCGTTAACCTGGTCGCGTGTGCGCTGTATCTGGTTTGCATAAATCAAGATGTCGCTCGCTGGGCCCTGCGTCCCACCTAGGGGCTGGTGAATCATGATGCTGCTATGTGGTAGGGCAAATCGTTTCCCCTTTTCACCCCCTGTGAGCAATAGTGAACCCATCGAGGCTGCCTGGCCCAAGCACACCGTTGACACCGGAGAGCGAATATAGGACATCGTATCGTAGATAGAAAGCCCAGCGGTCACGGAGCCGCCAGGCGAATGGATATACATGGTTATCGGTTTATCCGGATTGTCGGATTCTAGCCAGAGTAGCTGCGCAACGATCGAGGCAGACACCGTGTCGTCTATAGGTCCGTTTAGACATATTATTCGTTCCTAATTTACCAATTGAGGTTAACGAAATGGAGTGAGACAATACAAAAAGAGTGTTATATGGGCTTGCATACTTGTAGCAACTTGGAGAATATATCGTCTGTACGGCAATATCAGTAAAGCGGTTTCAAATTATCGGCGAATCCGAAACTACGAACATGTCCTCCAACCACCGGACTGTCTGGTCAGCTATCCGGCTTCTCTGCGCAAGCTTCATTGGTCTCGCTTACTGTAACTTCTGTGATATATGGTAAAGGAATAGTCCCTTGGGGAGCTTGGATGGGTCCAGTTGGGAATTGGGAGAAACGGCGGGTGGCGGGTCTCGTCGTCGTCGGTATCGTTCGCAGTGCTGCCCGCCAGAATGGCCGTTGACAATTCATGGTGTCTCGATTAGCACCAAAACCAGTGTTCAAAGGTTGAAATAAGCTCTGATGACAATAAATAAATAAGGTTATTTAGAGTTGGTGCCGTTTCAATGTTCGTTGGTGGTACAGCTGAATTGATAAACTGCAAGCGCAAGGCGGGTAGGTGCCGGGCCTAAGATGCAAAATGCGGTTGGAGCTATGACGATCCACGGCCGAAATGGTACGTACCTTGTGTAGGTGCCACTAAATTGCCTCCTCCATATCAATTTTCGGATCTCTTAGATCTTTCACAATTTTCACCGTCTCAGCCTTCCTAACTCCACAACTTGTATATAATCTTGCCTAGCACGACCAATGTGGTTATGAGACTATGTAAAGCGCTGCGAAATAGCAGTGCCAGTTTCGGCCAACGCGCAACAGTTGCGCCTTATTTCCACCGCCGATACTTCGCCGATGATCGATCTCAACAGCATGGCGATCCTAAGCAAGCGACCCCGCCCATTCGGAAAAAGAGCCACATCATGTACCATGGAATTGATTGGGACAATGCCTTTGAGGTTGATTCGGAGAACAAGAAGGTAGAGACGGCCGCAGGCGATTTGCCGCTGTCGCCCATTATGGACCCTGCGTATTGGGAGGCCAAGAAGCGACATGAAGTCCCAAAAGCGAAGCCCGGGAAACCCCAGAACTCTGTCGAGCGCCAACTCCGCGCCAACCCCTTTGGTATGAATGTTCTTCAATATGGACCAATTCTGGTCTTTTTGTACTGATATTTATATCATATAGCGAAAGCTCTAGCGGCACCTGTGCGAAAGTGCGTCATAACCCGCATTCGTTTACCTAGTTTCTTCCTTCAGGATTTCAAGGTGGTTTCTCACCCCGAGACCGGTAATCCATGGTTAATTCCAGCAAGTCTTATGTCTGACCGGGCTCCCGCGGAAAGTGAAGTAGATACGGAAGAGGTGTCGGAAGCCGAAAGCGGAGAAGATTCAAAAGAGGGCGAAGAAAGTTCAGAGAATATAGAATCCAAATCAGAAAATCTACAGCAGGAGAGCTCAGAATCGGCTGCCACAACAGGCAATGAAGGTATTCATGGTCCGGCCTCCTATGTCTTGGCTAGACAAGATCTCCTCTCCGCTTTCACGGACAAGAACTCGACTCTCGGAGGCGGGCCAAGGCGTCTTATAGGATCGAGTCCGCGATATAGAAGTTTAGATAAAAAGGTTGTATGGCGCAAAGATATGGACACTTACATCCGGGATTTGATGTGTCAAGGCATCGTCAGCGAGCTGCTTTACCTCTCTAGTCTTTGCGCTGAGCAAGGACGACATTATATCGTCAAGTGCTACGGCTGGGACGACGTTCAGTATAAACACAAGGGTTCCGTACTCTGGTTTGCAGACCCGGCCGAAAGCTCTAGCTCAGATGAGACCAGCAATCAACCTGGACCATTCGCAACATTTGATATTCAGAGAACGACCTTTCAAGGCAAGCCATACACCGAGAGTGTAAGCGTCTACAATATGCCTATGTTACTTGGGCCGGAGCATGCTAGTCGTCTTAAGGAGGAGGCACAGACTCTAAGGGACGGCTCCATCTTTATGCTTGCCGGTCGACGAACGGTAAATATACAATTGAAGCTATGGAAGCTACAGGGCTATCTAGCTGACTATAGAGACTGATCATGATAATGAAAACATATAGATCCGCTCTTAGATTTCCCAGGCAGTGTTCACTTTCGTATTGAGAGAGTGTCATTAATCACCACTGAGAATATTAAGGAAATGTCGTGACAGCTCTCATGGCTAGCTACCTACCATTAGGCGAAATGCTTATTCATAAGACACGATACACACATTAACCATATTTATCTAGTACCCCCTGAATTGCTTCACCATGTTCCCAACCCCCGAGCTTCATACCTAGACGAGAAATCGGTCCGATCTAAGTTCGGGAATCTCCGGAAAGCAAGCTGGCTATAAGATGCTACCAATAAGTATTACAAGGTAAATAAATATTTGGATGATAAATACACAAACAATTCAAGACATTGGCTCTTCTATCCCTACAGTGGAACTCGAGTGGATATGCACAAGTGTACACACCATGTCGATACGCTCTCAAATAGGTACCTATATCAATGATATGCAAACAGTATCACTCGTCATTGCACAAAACGTATCAAGATTGTTTAACTTCATAATGTGGTTCATTTCGTCTATGAATCAATCCCACCTGTATCTCATAAGGGCATGAATGTAGAATACATGAAAAACCTCAGTAAGCATCAATCGACTAGCAACAGGCATCTGGGTAAACCCTGCTATGAATTACCGTGCTCTGGGGTTGGGGAGGGGTATGGGGAATTATGGAGAGAATATGCCCAATTAGACGATATGACCGGAAAAAGAACACCGAAACCATCCAAACTCCGAAGAACTTTTACGATTCCCATTTCCTTTCCTATCGCTTAGTGCATTTAGTCGACCTCCTCCATCGCGCTGTCGCCGGTCTCAGCAGCAGCGGTCTCAGCGGTAGCTGGCACCTCCTCAACCTCAGGTTCCTCGTCAAGGTTCAAGCCGAGAGACACTAGCTTGTGGATGCGCTCAGCGAAGCCAGCGGGCTCCTCAATGGTGAAGCCAGAGACAAGGAGGGAGGTCTCGAACAAAAGCTGGACGATGGACTTCACGGTCTTGTCGTTCTCACCATCGGCCTCGACCTTCTTCTTCAGCTCCTTGATAATAGGAGACTTGGGGGAGATCTCAAAAGTCTTCTTGGAGCTCATGTAGCTGCTCATGGAGGTGTCACGGAGAGCCTGGGCCTTCATGATACGCTCCATGTTGGCAGACCAACCGAATTGGCCGGTTCGGATGGCGCAAGGAGAGCCAACCAGCTTGTGAGAGACGACAACCTTCTCGACCTTGTCGCCGAGAACATTCTTCAATGACTTGGCAAGACTCTCGTACTCCTTCTCCTCAGCCTCGCGAGCCTTCTTCTCCTCTTCGGTCTCCTCGAGATCGAAGTCCTTGGTGATGTCAACGAGTTTCTTGCCTTCAAACTCCTTCAACTGAGTCATGGCATACTCGTCAATGGGGTCGACCAGGAAGAGAACTTCGAAGTTCTTCTCCTTGAGAGCATCCAAGAAGGGAGACTTAGAAACGGCCTTGATGGACTCGCCAGTGATGTAGTAAATGTTCTTCTGGTGTTCGGCCATGCGGGTGACATAGTCGGAAAGCGAAGTCTGCTCATCGCCGGACTTGGTAGAGTTGAATCGCAGAAGCTTAGCCAAGATCTGTCGGTTCTGGGAGTCCTCGTGGATACCGAGCTTCAAGTTCTTAGAGAAAGCGCTGTAGAACTTGTCGAATTGCTCCTTGTCCTCGGCAATCTCGTTGAACAGCTCGAGAGCCTTCTTGACAATGTTCTTCTTGATGACCTTCATGATCTTGTTTTGCTGGAGAGTCTCACGAGACAAGTTCAAAGGCAGGTCCTCAGAGTCAACGACACCCTTGATGAAGCTAAGCCACTCAGGGATGAGGTCAGTGGCGTCGTCAGTGATGAAGACACGGCGGACATAGAGCTTGATGTTGTTCTTGGTCTTCTTGGTCTCGAAGAGATCGAACGGAGCACGCTTAGGAACAAAGAGGATGGCTCGGAACTCGAGCTGACCCTCAACAGAGAAGTGCTTGACGCCAAGGTGATCCTCCCAGTCATTGGAAAGAGACTTGTAGAAGGCAGCATACTCCTCTTGGGTGATGTCCTGGGGGTTGCGAGTCCAGATGGGCTTCTGCTTGTTGAGCTCTTCCTCCTCGATGGAAGTCTCCTTGACCTTCTTGGTCTTCTTCTTCTTTTCTTTCTCTTCGTCGTCATCGTCGACTTCCTCGATCTTGGGTTTCTTGTCCTCGCCCTCCTCGACCTCCTCAACCTCAGCATCCTCATCGGGGACTTCCTTCTCGGTCTCCTTCTTGACGTGGAGGTAGATGGGGTAGGAGATGAACTCCGAGTGCTTCTTGATGACCTCCTTGATCTTGCTCTCGTTGAGGTACTCGGTCTGCTCATCCTTCAGGTGAAGGATCAACTTGGAGCCACGACCAAGGGGCTCACCCTCGGTGTCAGGCTTAACGCTGAAGGTGCCACCGGCAGACGACTCCCAGATGTACTGCTCGTCATCGTTGTGCTTGGAGATGAATGTGACTCGGTCGGCAACAAGGTATGCGGAGTAGAAACCGACACCAAACTGACCAATCATGGAAACATCGGCACCAGCGGTCAACGCCTCCATGAACTGCTTGGTACCCGAGCGGGCGATGGTACCAAGGTTGTTGACAAGGTCCTGGTGGTAATTGTCAGCAAATAATTACTTAACGACGGGGATAGTTGTCTGAGATAATCAACTTACAGCCTTGGTCATACCGATACCCGTATCACGGATAGTCAAGGTCTTGTTTTCCTTGTCGGGAATAATGTCGATGCGGAGGTCCTTGTTAGACTCCAGCTTGCTGGGGTCGGACAAGGCCTCATATCGGATCTTGTCGAGAGCATCTGACGCGTTGGAAACCAACTCTCGGAGGAAGATCTCCTTGTTGGAGTAGACGGTGTTGATGATGAGGGAGAGAAGCTGAGAGATCTCAGCCTGAAACTCGAAGGTTTCCGACATCTTGAATTTATGTGTGGTAAAGAAAGGGAGATCTGAATATGGTTGATTGTTAGTTTAGCTGAAAAAATAGCGGTGATTTTGGTGACTAGAAAAAAATAGATTGGAGGGAAGTGTTTGGCAAGGAGGGGTACAATGGCGGGGTGAGCAGCGGTTTTGCACAGAGCGCACTTAGTGATATGGCTCAAGTAATGGCGTATTGCGACAAAATCAAAATCCGGTGATATATAACGATGGATCGCTTATACAGGTATTTTTCTTGCAGTTTGGAATGGGGCAGCCTCGTTGGGCAAACTGGGGGAGTGGGATGCAAAGGCAAGGCTGATAGGCGGGAGGTCTACGGAAGAGCAGCAGTGTCTCAACTTACCAGAGATGATGTTTTATGGTAAAGGCGGTTTAGGGGTATCACAAGAAGAGATGGTGATTTGTTAAATCACTTGAAGACGGGAGAGAGTTGTTTTGGTATGAGGAAGAAAAAGATGAGAAGAGTTGAGGGAGGAAAAAAGGGAAGAAGTATGTTCACGAAACGAAGAAGTCGCAGCTAGAAATGTTCTTCACAGCTCTCTTTCCGTGCACGGCCCCACATGGGTTTCTATCGAATTCTACGGCACTTCTGGTAGCAACGAACGGAATCTAGCTCATTCATTGGCTGCACTGAGGCTCCATGGCAACCGCTGTGGAACGGTGATTGGATGAATGCGTCCGGAGCACTGGTATGCAAGTCCAGACCCTCTCGAGCCTTCCATCTCTTTGGTGCCTGCAGTTTCTCCAAACTTCTGGAAAACACAGTCAGGCAGCTCCCAAGGCAACTTCCTAAGGCTGGCTGTCTAGGTGCTAAATTTAATCTAACAAAACACGATTCAGCACTGTAGCTTCCTAAGACATGGATGCAAATGGAACCTGAATTCCTAGATCAAAATGCAATTGACGCTTTGAAAACCCTGCAAACAAGGAGTGGCGATACAATTGGCTCACGACTCATGTACTTACTTCCACCACAGGAATTCCCGTCCCTGCACTATATGATTATATAACTTAGGTAATGTTTCCATTATGTTAACACAGTAAAGTCAATTGTCATATGAGCCAATATGCGCTTTTCTTTTCCCACTTGTTCAAGTAATATCAACGTAGAACATTCGACCCGTTTGGATCATAGCGCTTCCAGACAATGCGCAATTCCCCCGCACTCATACAAGCTGATGGAAAGTGTGAGAAACTTGATGCCCTGGCCCGCCAATCTTCTCCACAAGGATGATTAATTTATTCCCACTTGCCTGATTAGGTAGTAAGGCTGATTCTGATGCTAGCTCCAACTGGCAATGGTTTTGCTTGATTGGCTAGAGGGGCTGAGGGGTGAATGGTAAAACTGCGGCCTATCTCACTGAGGCTGAAGCTGAGGCTCATGTTGAAGCTTGGAAGCTTGGCATGGAACGTTAGATTAATTGATATGTATCAGCGTGGAGTGCTTTATTCCTAGGTATTACTAGAATATACTCTGAAATCTGAGAAGCATCTACAAGTATCTGTATGTATTTTCTTTCAATAATGGCATTTGAAGAGGTTGAGAAATCGATGATAATCGTATGTTCTTGTGCGCTAGAACTTTCCCTATGGGGTTACTACATAGTAAAATATCAAAAGGGGGAAGCATCTCTCGATAGGGTTTTATTCGATTCTTTTTAATTGTAATGAAATACAGGTCTTTTTAAACCGTTAATGTTAACACTATGCCAGGCTTAAATATTAATTGAAACATGGATAGGTATATTTCTATTCCAAATGAGGACGTATGTATCATTACCTTCGAGGTTGGCTACATACCTACCTAAGCTATTCGAGGACAACCGAAAATTCCTACCTGCGATATTGAAGTGGTGGGATACTCCTACGTAGCGGTCTTAATTTGACGCTTCTAGAGAAAATAAGGGAACAATTTAAACATCCGTGTAGGAAAACCAATCCCGCCTCGGAAGGCCCTTCGTTGAGATACGTGTACTTCAGAGGAATAGGTAAATTGGAAAATCTAGTATTATGCTGATAGCTATTATACGGTAGTTAATGTTAGGATTATAAACTTATTTCTTCAGGATTTGATATAGAAAGGATGCGAATGGAAAAAGGCTCAACTTGCGGTTCGCCCTAGTAGACAATGGTTTTCTACTGGCCTCACACAGCTTAAACCTAGGCTCTGGGACCCACGGCCTACCAAAAGCCCTAGACCGGGATGGACAGAAAGCAGAATGAAAATCTATCGGATGTGCTTAAGTTCGGTGGGTGGGTGTTGCTTTGTAATGCGCCAGCGACCTTTAGAATAATCGAAGTACTACCTAAATAAGTACCTTGGGATGATCGCGCACTTCTTATGAGGCCTTTGGCTCGGATGTGAATTCTTAGGTACAGATGGGTGTATTTTAAGTATCCAGTCATTTTTACTTGAACAACTACCTGCTTATGGATGCTACGTGCTCTTGATAAAGCATATTCTTAGCATGACTTCCTCCTTTTTGGCAATATGAGAATGCCTTGAGATTTCTAAGGGTGACAGTCACATTATACGATCTTCATAATACCGATGAGATAGCTGCATGAAGTATTTAGAAAACATATCCATGAAAAAATTAGCACTTTGTCTCGGGTTATAGCGTTGATTCCTGTTGTATGCAAATAGAATCACTCATATAAGCCACGTGGACTTCTTCTCGTGAGTATAGAATAGCTCCCGATACCTATACTCCCCGAAGTAACGAATTTGATAGTCTGAGGACCACCGATCATCATCTGTCTCAGCCCTCTACGCCTCCTGCGCCTCCCCTCTTATTGTCGTACCAATTATTACTACTACAAACCATTGCTAAGACCCTTTTCCAACTGTCCGGTCTCACAGTCCCCAACTATCATACGGCTTCATAAGTTCGTTATTCTTCACCCCTTCGGGAAAATCCTCCTCGCCAAGATGCGTAGTATGCGCCCAAGGTTTAAGTTCATTTTCCTCCCTAATCGTCTTCGAGAAGCACCCACTCCACCCCTTCCTGGGGTACGCCTTATTCACATCGTCCCTGGTGACCGGGTCGATGATCTGCGGGTTAATGCCCATGTTGTCGTAGATAGTAGCCAACTGAATGACCTGTCCTAGGAACGTGATCGTACCCACAGTTCCCAGGTCTTGATGACGGATGATAGCCTCGGCCACAGCTTCAGCCTGAGCTGGGGGTGCTCCAAGCTCCTTTGTAAGGTTCAGGGCCAGAATGCCTCCGTAGAACTCGAACGACATCAACGTGGCCCGCAGGTTGTCGTGCGTGGTGCCGATGTCGTGGAGGAGGCACGTCAGCGCCCACGTAGACAGCGAGAGCTGGCCAAATTGGTCGGGAAATTGGTCTTTGATGATGGAATATCCTGATTATTAGGTTAGTTCGAACTCAAAGGGGATTTGGTATGACCGGACTAAATCCTACCCCAATGGTAGACCCGCATCGAGTGGTTGTACGTCTGCTCGATAAGGTGCTTTTTGGCGTACTCTTGCACCCCCGCAACGATGGCGTCATCCGAAGGAAAGGGGATATCCTTTGCAGTCAAGGGGGATGGCTTGTGAAGATACGGCTTGCCACTGAGGATGGCATTGCCATCAACTGGAACGGCACTCCAACCGTGCTTGACGATATCGTCTGCCGATGCTGCCGGTGTAGATGACATGGTATCAGGTGTTAACGTCTTGCAAAGCTATAGCTTCGTATACTCGACCTGCTGTCGCGTTAACAAAAGGGGTATCCATATCCTTTATATATGATTTACGTCACCGATGACGGAGTTAACATATATTATTTTTATAAATAATATTAGTCAGATTTTAGTGGTACATTATCTATATCGAATTACATCTCCTGCTCGGGTTTTGGTTGTGCAGAATTGGAGTTATATGCTCTCCACAATATATAATTCCGCGGGATGATTGTCTCTTGGTAGTCTTATACTTGAAGACAGTAGCATCGTCAACTTCACCACCACAGTAACTCTACGTAGCTACTCGCCCGCTTCGCGGAGTTATGAGTACACAGTTATCGAAATTGTTGCTAATATATCTCCGACAACTATTCGTTTCCACTTGTGATGTCACACGAGCGAACTTGATATAGGAACCTACTGTCAATTCCCCTGGATTGACAGTGCCGACAATGATGGTAATCACAGTAGGATCGTTAGCTCCGTTGAACATCGTCGATATTTCGGTGTTCTGCTTGAAAGACGGCCATGATTAGTACGAGGCAACGTCATTGAGATAGGACATTGCCGTCATGCGGGGGCTGTCATGGCCGGTTTAATGAGACAGACGCCGAACGGAGCTCGATCGCTTCCGTCTTGACGATGTTAATCAGAATCTGGGCCAATGATTAGTAAAAGTGGTGGAATTCGTGGGGAGAGTGCTGCTAAGACGTACCGAATTTCATAAGACCCTGCCCTTGTCATGTATCTTACCCACTTGACACTTGAGTAGTTGCTCTTCTCAAACACCTTCAAGTATCGTACAAGGAGGCCCGAGCTAGTAAACATGAGAAGACTGAAATTCATGCTTAGAGGTGGGCGTGACCAGGCTTTCTGGTTAGTCATGCTTGTGAGCTCCGCTTCGGCACTTAGCACGAATTCACTCTGACCAGTAAAACGGCCGATCTTCCAGACGATGTTGTTTTCGCTTGGTTCATACTTGGCTTTCCCCTGAGTACAACGTTCGGTGATGCGAGCGGTGTTCAATGGGGTCGGGATACGAACAATAACGTTCGTGGCAAACAATTTACTGCCGAAGTTCGCTTTAACGCCAATGCTATACTCTACTTTGGTCTTGCCAACTTCATTAACGATGGCGTGCACCTTGAAGGGTAGATTGACGTTTTCGGTTGCGCGGTACCGCATGAGCTCGAATTCTCCATCGGGCGGGATGAAGGAGATAATTCGGTCAGAGTCGAATTTGCCTAGCTTCACACATTGATGGAATTGACAGTCCTCCAAGGTGACACTTCCGGCGGCTGCTTTTGTAGCTTTGGTGCCAAGCCTATTACCACTGGGAAGCGACTGAAGCCCGTCATGGTCTAACAGAAGCCGATCATTAAGTCCAAATTTACATTCGGGGGTGCCCGAAAGGTATGCGCGCATGATAATTTGACCGGTAACATCAGCACGGAGAACAGTGCCAGTAGCGGACATTAAGAGGTTGACGTCCTCGATCACGTCGACGAAGGCCTCATTCTTTCTGTATTTGACATCGGCCTTTCTCCAAGATAACGCGCCGGTTGCTTGCATAGTGATCTTAGCTGAGTCTTCTGCGGCACGTTCGGACTTGACACCTTCGGTAGTGATGTACATTTTGAGGGTGTCGGTCTCGGTGTTTTGAGGGTAGCCGAAGTCGATGATTTCTAGAAGCGTAGATATGTTAGGGGTAGTCATCAAGTAGTGCTGGGAGTACAAATTCACCATCTAGAAGTTCGTAGACCAGGACAAAGTTGTTCTTGACAGCTTCCTCGTCGAACTTCCCAAAGTAACCCCTACCAAGCTGAATCAGCCGGTAGAGGAATTCGAAGACGAGCGCGGCATTGGCATTGCTCTTGGTGATGGCGACCAAATAGATGTTTTCGTGCTTGACGTGACTGAATGTGGTGCTTCCGAGGGTGAGAATGGGTGATCGGACCTGAGGATTGGAGATGACTTGAATTCGAAAGACGTCGGCGAGACGAGGTCGGCAATCATTCCGAAAGGCGCGGAAGATCAGGTTCTCGCCTTTTTGATTGAATATTAGGATGCCGGAGAGCATCTTGCCGAGACCTCGTGGACTCGACCCCAAGCTCGTTAAAGGAGAGAATGGGTTCAGGTTCAGGTTCAGATGGTAAATGTTTAAATTTAGAAACCGATAAGGTCACGCCGTTTAGACTAGACGCGGGTTTCTACTAACTGCGTACATGTAGCTAGACGGGAAGACGGGCGTTGGCAGGTGGAGCCCCTTGTCAGCCCACTACAGAATACAGCCAATCAAGTTAGTTTTAGTTACACAAGCCACTAGCGATAAGATAATGATGGGCTCCGCATTTACCCCTGACTGAGATGAGCCACAACGCGGAGTTCCGACTGGGGTAGTGTCTAATCAAGCCACTAAATGTTTAAGCTTAGTCTCAAATTTGAGTCTTCCGTTTGTTTAGTTTATCTTCTTCAACTATTCTCAATTTCCAGGAACGACGTCGCATCTATTATATGACATGTCATGTCGTTTCTCTCCAACTCGGTCTACTCTTTTCACAGTCAACATACTAAGGTCCGTCTTACTCGAAACACAAGTGCGAACCAAGCTACTTATGACAACCTCTTCAGGTGCGGGTGGGACTGCAACCCCCCGACCTAAGAGAGAAAGAGTAGAAAGGTAGCAGACGCGCGTGATGTAATATGTCTAACTCGACTACCGTAGTATCAAGGTTTTTAATACCGGCCTACTACTACTATGAGGTTACTTAGCTCCAACGAAGCTTTCGCCCCTATTTTCCATTAAGGGTACGGCGTAATGCAGTGGTCGTGGAAGACGACTACTTTTCGTCCGAACCCACCGCGACTCCAAATCCCCCCTCGCGGCATCAATTCCCTATTCCGGGGTATTCAGGAACATGTTCCGAGCTTACCCCCGAAGTAGGTATGGTCTAATCCAACTTCCTAGACCCTATTATGTGGAACACCTAACTACGCTTTATTTTCATTGGTCATTCCTTAAAGACGAACTAGTAATCAAAGGCTTCTGATCCAACATTCGTGGGAGACCTCTTCGTCTGTAACCGCTATGGCAACTACACCGGTGCTCCCTTGAGACCATGTCTCTCATAATCATTCGACTTATATCCGCCCTTATCTCCTGTTGTTAAGCCATGGCGATCTCACGGGATCGTAGACCGCGTTCCCGCGTCTAGGGAAATAGTCAGTTGTACGTGGACCAGGTTTGTTCTATCATACGAAAAAGGCACCAGTGCTATGTGGGGAGATCCAACGGAGGCCATGATCAAGTTTATGGCTCTCATGTTCCCGTCTTTCCGACAGATCTGAGATCTAAGCGGAATCTAATTGTGATAAAAGGGCCACTGGTCGCAGCTTGTCTTGTAGGATACTGTTTCACTACACGCTCGCAACTCTTCCAGTGTTCCAAAGCAAGCAAAGTCACAATGTCTGCGAAACTTCTTGTCGCCGCTCTGAGCTCTGTAGCTCTGGCTGCTCCCTTTGATGGCATGGTCGAAGAGCGTGGCAGCCCGACTACTAAGGGTGAGTAACTTGGTTTTTGTCTCATCCCAAGTCTCCAGAATGCGACCCATTGTTAGGCAGAAGAATCACTGACTCTGAATATGAGATAGCCCCTGCGACTACTGTTCTAGCTGCTCGAGGCACAGCCGCATGGTCAGGAAACCCTTTTTCAGGTGTGAACATGTGGGCAAACTCGTACTATGCTTCTGAGGTCTCCGCGTCTGCCGTTCCCACTTTGGGTGCTGGCGCAGAAGCAGTTGCCAAAGTCCCTAGCTTTATGTGGTTGTAAGTAATGGTCTAACAATCCGCCTTTGGCATGGCTTCATCTGATATGTGATACAGAGATACTCGGGATAAAGTTGACTTGATGGGTTCAACCTTGAAGGATATCCAAGCGGCCAATGCGGGCGGTGCAAGCCCCCCTAACGCCGGCATCTTCGTCGTTTACGACCTTCCAGACCGTGACTGCGCGGCCGCTGCGTCAAACGGCGAGTATTCTATCGCCGATGGTGGCGTTGACAAGTATAAGGCATATATCGATGCCATTGTCGAGCAAGTCAAGGCTTATCCCGATATCCTGATGTTACTTGTTATTGGTAAGTTCCAGCGACTTTCGACGACGCCCTTGTTCCCTCTGCTGATCTCGTTACAGAACCCGATTCATTAGCAAACATGATCACAAACTTGAACGTAGCGAAATGCTCAAATGCTCAAGACGCCTACATGGAGTGCACCCAATACGCAATCAAGAATCTCAACCTACCAAACGTTGCTATGTATCTTGACGCCGGCCACGCCGGATGGCTTGGTTGGCCTGCGAACCTAGCACCAGCGGCCAAGTTGTACGCTCAGCTATACAACGACACGGGCTCGCCAGCAGCTCTTCGCGGTCTTGCTACTAACGTCGCTAACTACAACGCCTGGGAAATTGCCACGTGCCCATCGTACACACAAGGCAACGACAACTGCGACGAGTCGAAGTACGTCAATGCTATGGCCCCCCTGTTATCCGCCGCGGGCTGGGATGCGCACTTCATCACGGACACGAGCCGTAACGGCAAGCAGCCTACATCTCAGCAGCAATGGGGTGACTGGTGCAATGTCATCGACACTGGTTTCGGCACCCGCCCGTCGGCTGATACGGGCAGCGACTTACTGGATGCGTTCGTCTGGGTCAAGCCTGGAGGGGAATGCGACGGGACAAGCAACACAACCGCCGCCCGATACGACTATCACTGCGGGTCGGCGGACGCACTGCAGCCGGCCCCTGAGGCTGGCTCGTGGTTCGAGGCGTACTTCGAGCAGCTGTACAAGAATGCCAACCCACCCTTCTAGTGATGCGTCGGTAGGATGGTTGTTTTAAGGGGCATGTGCCATAAATGAAAAGGTTGGAATGATTCAACATATGAAATATATCTATTTATCCCACACAGAAGTCGAGCCGAGGGGAAATATTGAGCATATTCGCCATATAATTCAGTGTATATATTATGTTTTTTCTTAAATACTAGATACTCTACCTAGTTTACGCAAGATCCGCATAACAGATCATACCTCATCAAAAATTACCCCAGCTCATAGTACGTCCCAACCACCTTTTTGTTTTCCCTATTCTTCGTACCTATACCTAGAACCTACCGCCCCCAACAACAGCAACCTGCGACCTAACCGGCACATTCTCCTGTCTTCCGAGGGCCGGGAACCCGTCGACGGGCACGCCGGCGCGGAACAGCAGGCAGTGCGAGGAGCCGCCGAAGTGGAACATGCCGAGCTGCTCGCCCTTGCGCACGGCCTGGCCCTGGGCGACGGTGATCTCGCACGTGCTCACCTCGTCCATGCCGACGCCGACGAACGCCATCAGCCCGATCGCCGGGTTGTCCGCCTGTATGAAGATGACGGCCCGCGTCGCCAGCGCCGTCAGGTACCCCTGCGCGACGCCGATGCCGCGCACGTCGATCTCGTCCGAGCCCGCGCCCGCGCCTTTTTCTCCCGCTCCCGCGTACCCGCCCGCCGGCCCCTCGAACAGAGGCTCGCTGAAGTACGTCCCGTCTTTGACGAAGGCGCGCACTATGCGCCCTGAGACGGGCGAGTGCCATCGGTGGTACGAGAGCGCGGACAGGAAGGCCTGGTACACTGTTGCGCCGTCGAATTGCGCGGCCAAGGGATCGTGGCCCAGCATGTCGAGGACGGAGTACGGCTGGCTCTTGATCCAGAACCGGTCGCGCAGCTTGGCGTGCCGCGCGACGTTGTACACTTTCGACTCGCACGCGTTGGCGATTACGTTGTCGTCGTCGGGCGAGGCGACGGGGCGCGCGGTGTCGCGGAGCTGGCGGGTGAAGAAATCTTTGGACGTTGTTAGTGTATGGGTTATAGGTAGTAATAGGGGGGAGTGGGGCGAAGTTGTTTTCTTACCGTCCCAGGAGGTGTAGCCGTAGTACTTGGCTGCGGGATTGCAGACGTACATGTCTTCGAATCTGTGGGATGTTCTGAGTGGCGCGTTGGCGACGTCCATTACGTCTTTGACGGCGTGCTCTGAGAACCAGCCTTGCTTGTGGGTCGCGAGGACTTCGGCTGATTTTGGTGACTGGCAATCGTCGTCAGAAGATGGACCTCTTAGTGTAACGGGGTCTCATAGTGCCCGGAGACTCACTTTCAGGAACTTGCCCCATTCATTCAGGATCTTCTTAATCATCTTGTTGACCTCCGGATCTAGAAATGCAGCATGGCCACTATATTGTTGGGTTAGTGAGCCTTATTGCACATTCGAATAAATAGGGGTCTGACCTAGGTGTAGCCATCACATAATCGAAGATCCCCACCATAGGAACACCAACCATACCAACGCCAAACGCAGCATCAGTCCACTGAGGAGCTTGCGTAAAGATATGGTTGAGAACGGCTAACATATGCCGGTAATCGCGAATCTGCCTCTTAGTGCCAGTCGGGTCTTTATCGTACGGCTTCTTGAGCGGGATCTCCTCCCACATCTGGTTGAAGTACATGTAGATCCGCGAATTTCCTTCGATGAGTCTCTTAAAGTCTTGGAGGACAGGGATTAGCTCCTTTGCACCAGCTTTGTCGACATGGTCGATTTGCGTTTTGAGCCATTCATGTTGGAGACGGTGGTCCGCGGGTAGCCAGGCACCGTGTCTAAGAGATTATTAGCAACACTAGGAAATATTGACTAGATGATTTTGATATACTCACCTATGGACCCGATGTTCATGAGGGATGTCATGCTCGTCGCCATGTTGGTGAACCATCTTGAATTATATAGGACTTCAACGCTAACCTTCAAACGGGATGCTCTATGTGGATAAATGTTCTATACCAAGAACCGTTCCTGAATTGCCAAGAACAACGGTCTCGCATAGCTCTCATATATCATATTTGACGAGGATGCGGGGTATGGAATCAAGGAAGGCTTTCATAGGTGAGTTTGGAAACTTGGTCATGAATCATGATGTAACTACTGTGTCACTGTAGGGGATTAGTAAGGACCCAAACGGGAGAAAATTGGGTTATATGCAGGTATGTGACCCCTGGCAATCTGAGCTAGAGATGGGATTAGTTCCGGTTGGATGTTTAGGTTTCTCGACAATGGGCCACCATAAGGTAGTCGTCCGATATTTGTTCTTTGGTTTGACCGGAAGTTAGAGTCTTGTGTTACTGTCAGAATCCCTTTCCTAAGCAAGACAGGTGTCAATGATGCAGCATCCTAGACTGGAGGGATTCAGAATTAGTGGATACTCCTTTGTCTGTGATACTGTTCTGGTGCTTGAATGGCCCTATAGTTTTGTCTTAGGGAACATTGAAGATGGAGGTCCTCTTTTGCAGACTGGAGTCCCCCTTTAACTATCTAGGTAGGGGTCATTCAATACCTGTACGAGTTACCGCAATCGTGGCAGCTCGCTCCCAGATCTCCCCTAAAACCGTTAGTATGGCCACGCACTCATCAAAAGGCGCATGGAGCTTACCCTGTTTGCCCTTTTAATGGTAGTCCAAGTGAAACCTTGTTTTTTCTATCCCGCCGGTGCTTCCAGCCAACCTTCACTTCGCCGCAATGACCGCGTTGAACCCCGAGAATAGAGTTATAAACTACTTATGCATAATTCGGGCTGAGAAACGTAGAATCGGTATTACCTCATCGCTGTAACATGACGCCTTGGAGCTAAGCCTAGGCATGACTAGCGTGGTTGAAATGTCAGAACAATTCTGGCAAAGGAAAATAAAGAACCTTAGGACGCTTTCACTAGGTGACGTCTCGAATAGTATCATTGAATAGGTCGCTCCCAGTCCATGTTCTCAAGCCATTGCATGAAATCGTTGTCGGGTCCCAGGAAAGGAGCCTCCATGCCGAAGTTCAAATCTGCCATCGTGGAGTCCATCACACCGGGCACCTGCCAGCTATAGCCCTGCGCCGGTTCCGTCGTCGTAATTTCAAAATTTGCTTGGACAGGTTGGTGAATTTGATCTTGGTGTGCAGGGGGGTCGCTTGAGGCCTGAAGTCGGTCTGCATTTGGAGGACTGAGAATCTTGTCGAGTATATGGGTAATAACCTTACGTCCCTGGTCGCAAATACTAAACGATCCGTCTGAAGGATCGATAGCTCCTAACCTAGCTGCGAAGATGGCCAAGTCTTGGATCGTCTGGCTTCTAGGTAAGAGGGGCTCTTTAGGATAGACGGGTAGTTGTTCTTGCTTCAATAACTCGACCGCGATGACACCTGCACTCCTCAAACCCTGCACCGCGAGTAGAGAAGCAATATCGGTCTGAAACAACATCCCTAAGTCGTGACGTTGACTCATTAACAAGATATCCTTCAAGATCGATCGTGCGATGTGTATGAGCTTCTCCGAGCTCGCACCAGCTTTGCGAATGAGTACGCGCTGGAGCAGAAGATCGTTAGAACGGAACGCTTGACGTATAACGATCATGAACATGATTTCCGTCGGCGTTTTGCCTTCAAATTCTATAGGTCCGTCTCTTATTTTCTGGATGAAAGGCGGCAATCCTTCCATGTGTTGCTCGCACCGCCTCTCGATGCTTTCTGCGCGGATTAGAATCTCCTCAGGCGTATACTGAGCCAGAGCCAAGTCGAGTATATCTTCCCTCTTCGGAGAAAACCCCTGCCAGGTTTTGATCCAAGTGACACGGTGTATTTTCCCGGACGTGTTATACCCGTTCTCGTCTAGACTAGCCAGTGCTAGAGCCAATTCGTCCCCTTCAAGGACTAATTGGGGAGCGGTAAGGTCCAACGGAGCTTGGAATCTGCAGTATCGGTACGAGAGCCGAGGGGGCCGGCCTAAGAATGTCGAGATACCGATCTCTGCGCTATATGTCTGGGTGAAGAGTCTTTTCCGTGTCTCCGATAGGAAGAACGGAAGTCCATCCTCTTCCTTGACGCCCTGATGTAAGCCCATGGCAATAGCTGCGGCAACGATCTCCCCACACTGAGTGTATGAAGCGTGGCTAGTATCGCCCTTAAGCCTACCGGTCAGGCAAAAGTTTTCCATTAGCAGCCAGGCGAACAGGTCGTCCAGCGAGTTGCAATCGCGACAGAAGCTCAGGCAAATCTCTGCTATTTCACTCATCTGCCTTGGAAACGAGGATTGCGTGAGTTTAGGGGTTTTCGAATCCCGATCTAACGGCTCAGGGGTACTAGCGCATTGGCCGGCTACCGCCGCGATAAGGCCAATGACTTCCCATCGTAGACCGGGTCCAGTGGCAGAACGTGCCCACTGCACGACGTAGATTAGCAAGAGGCACGCGTGGCGATTAGGAACAATTTTTCTTAGAAGACTCGATGCATGGGGAAATTGTAGAAGAATAACTTACTTGCGTCGCTGTAGTATTCTTGTTGAAGGTGAGAGGCATTTGGGTGTTGCACCAGATTAAACCGCAGAGTCGGCGAATCTTTTCAGGATTCTGTTCTCTCAACTGTGTATCAAACGTTAGTATCTCATACGCCCCCCAAAGCTTCATTTCACGGCCATCGACCAGGAGTAAAACTAGAGCCCTAGGGGAAAGTGTTGTTATGGATACGTACGGTATCACCATGGTGTGGCCAAAGACCCCACAGCCATTCTTTCATGATAGGCTCTATACATATACAGCACTCATCTTCGCATACCTCGTACCAGCGTGATACCAGACGGATAAGCAGAGAGTTATCCTTTAGGAAGCCGAGAACTTTACATCCTTGGGCTATCCGATCTTGTGACAGCTTAACTTTCTGAACGTGAGAAGACTCTAGATCGGGACCAGAGACGCCGGAGCTACCTAGGCCATCTTCGAATATGGAAATGTAGGAAGTTTCTCCGAGGAAGCCTTGATTCCCGGTATGGCTGGTGTACTCATCCCGAAAGTTCAGTGGCGGAGCAGATGCAGCTCGATGGACTTCACGTGTCACTACTTCAGTAGGACGTGACAACGGGGTCTGGGGTGTTAAAAAGCTTGGGTTTTCTGTTCCTGGGCTTGGCGTCTCAACCGACTGAGCTATGATCACGGAGCTTTCGTCATGCGTCGACGCCACCGGTGTTGGGGGCGTAGCACCACCTCTTCGACGATTCTAATTCCAAGCGTTAGCTCGACTTAATCTTGTAAGGCCTACCGCATAACCAACGATCGTGGAGTGATGTCATCCAACTAACCTGGGTTAGAGGATTTGGATGGTAGATACACTGATCGACACATCGCCTCTTAACACATCTCCCACAAGCCGGAACAACATGGTCACATCTTAACTTAGATAGTCTACATGGTTCACATGATCTAGATAGTGTAGGCAGTAGAGAGATAAGACTAAACTCCCAGTACGCAAGGTGCATGGTGTTTAGATAGGCAGTATCCAACTTTGCATCACACGGACTGGGGAGTTCAGACTCGATCCCGTAGTGCCCCTAATGTAAGCTTGCGGAGGTAGGAGAGAAGAATTAGGGAAGAGAGAATGTGAGAATGCATACTGCAGTTTTCCATTACGTCGATATTTCCCAGTCAAAGATCGCTGGGTGGACTGTAAATTTATTATTTGGCCACCGAGTGGCTGTTGTGGATTCATCCCTAAGACCTCGGAATCAAATTGAGGGTCTGTGTAGAGAAGATGTCGGAGTTCATGAAGCGAGATGGTCTCTCGAATGCGTTTCTAACTATAGTAAGCGATCGGTGGTTTCTAACATTGTAAGTGTGGTTGTTACAGGTTAATGAGTGAAGGAAGGAGGGAAACGTGAAGATGAATTCCGAAGTTTCGGGGACGTTGATTGGTCACAAAGCGCCATTCGGGTTTCGGCATATTACCAAAAGTGGCGTTTCTGTCAGCTTAATTGTTAGTGCGCCTCCAGCCACCTTCGTCTTGGAGACGAACACGGAATTATTTCATCTTCCAACGTCGAAATTTGTTGTTGGGTTGGATCTCTCAACTACAAGGCACTAGGTCAGAAAGGCTAGAATTTATCACATAACATGATCCTCATAGATTCTTCTGCCGATTCTAGAGCTATGCATAGATGTTGGTTTTCCGGAATATAATTACCTCGAATAGCAGCCAACTGCAGCTCCATTGTCATTTGATCTAATGCATAGGGGCATACTCGGACGCTACTGCTTAAGTCAAATAGTTAATGATGAATTAGGTCAGCTGAATATGCGATTATCTTTTATATATTCGCTTCCAAAGTTGATAGTTCGTCAAGAGCTATTATAGGACTCGATCCATAACGTTCATGGCAATAGTGAAACTCGGTGTTATTATTGATCGCAGCGAAGAACATTGAGACGAGGGAGTTGATTTTACTTGCCGCTATCTTGGCTCTGGTTTCTACTTCTATTGACGACGTTCTAGGTATCTAAAGGTGTCGCCCTTCGCGAGAGGGGCTCCGGGGAGAAGGGGTATGCCCCGTAATGGGGTTAATCCTCAACTTTAACTCGGACACGGGGGACTCGATGAAGACGCATTGATAGCTCACCTAGACCGGTCAAGAACTCGTGCTTTCAGCCGCAATGGCGACAGAGAGAAGAAGGTCATCATCGTCGAGAGGGTGTGGAGGGTGTGCATCGAGAGTTCCGCATAGGGGCGAATGGAAAAGGCCGTGCTATCGAGAAATCTAGAAGGCTCGAGCCGGGCGCTGGCTACGTCAACACTTGAAGGGACTGGCGCATTTGACTTATCCAACGAGAGGTGTACTTACGATCGTCGACTAGGTGCCTTAGGAACTACATGGCTTCAATGGAGCGTTATCTACCTAAGGAGCCATGGAGCGCCGTAGACGAAGCTATGAGCGTACGCCAGGTCCCATGACATTCACCGAAACTGCGCATCAATAACCAATACATAGTAGCGAAATAAAGATAATGCGGCACAGAAGGATTTGATGCACAAAGTGTGTGTTGCAATGGAGATGGAAGAAATCTGGTGAACTCGCAAGTTTCCGACGATCTAGTCGTTATCTTTCCGGTCAGCTACGGTGACACGGAGATCAATGGGCTGAAGAAAACAAGAATTTGTGTTAGCTGAAGGTAGCTGGAGCAGCTGGAAGTCTGTTGGGGCGACCCGTCAGCCTGTGAGGCGTTCCAAGGCGTTCGGATGCATAGCCTCATATGTCATCACTACATGCAATATTGAAAAAGATATTCGCTAATATATTCCCTTTTCTGTCACTTCAGCCAAGACGAGCCTTATGCCGATAACCACGTGGAATGGTGCATCCGGAGGGAACCATTGTCAGCATGCGGAACCGAAATGTGAGCAGTCAGGTTGCTCTCACCCAGCCTTGGAAGATCCTCTCCGGGAGGAGCACGAAGGTGTTTACGTAAGTTGTCGTCTATTCATGGAACGCCGCTATTGTTTCTAGATGTTGGTACTGCAGTGTAACACAGTGAGGAATTAATCGGACATTACAACAATTCCTTGCCTGCGAAGGATCCTTATCAATATTACGTGCGAGAACTTTGGACGATTCATCATCGCGAGAGAACGACGGGATACATTTTATGTTGGATGGTTTTATCAACAATACTTCTATTCACATAGGAATCGTTAGTCAAACCCTGCTACCGCGCATCTACACATACAAATCCTGAAATAAAGCCTCATGACCTATATACAGAATGAGATGAGAACCAATCTATTCAGAAACTTGGCCCAAGGAGTACGTATTCGGACAGCAGGCCCCCTGCGATGGCGCCTCCTGCCAACCAAAATCCGTACCTGAACCACCACCAGCAACTCGCAGAGTCCTTAAGCTCAACGTTGGCGATCATAGCGCCCAACGAGAGCAAGGAACCGCCAGCCGCAATCACATGGAATTGAATACCCATGTCCAACAAGCTTCCGCATGTATATAGCAGTGCGACCATGCAACCAAGGGATAGCCATAGGGCAGGCTTCGTCTGGTCCTTGAGTAGCACTGCGATGCTCTTCAATCCCACCTTGATGTCGTCCTTGACATCTTGATGAGCGTAGATAGAATCATAGATGACCGTCCAGAGGATAGACGCGAGGAAGAGGCATGCGATCGATGGCTCGACCCAGAAGTGCATCTTCCATCCGTCTTCCGCGCCAAACGGACCTCCGGTGAAGGGCTTTAGCCCCATTGCACAAGAACCCATCATAATGCCCCAAGCTAAGCAGAATCCGAGCACTATCTGTGCAAAATTCGTGTGTCGCTTCGCCCAGGGGTAGTAGTATGTGCCAATGATGTTTGGGACCGCGTATATCGCGCTTCCGCTCGGCATCAAGAGCAGGAACGAGGCTGCGCCGATGGCTTGCGTAGCCGTGAATATGAAGGCGCCCCGGGGGCTGATAGCCCCTCGAGGAATAGGCCTCTTGCTCGTGCGCGCGATGGACTTATCGATGGGCGCATCGATCAGGTCGTTCCAGCCGTGGGCTGCGTTCGAGAAAAAGAAGCTGCCCCCGAACATAACGGCACCCGCATGTAAGACTTGGGACACGGGTGATCTCTTGATGATGGCGGCGAGGATGACACCGAAGAAGTGAGGGAAGTAGATGAGGAAGAGGGCGGCCGGCGGACTCAGTCTCGCCAGTTGGACGTAGGGAACCCAAGACGAGGGCAAGAGGCCAACCCAGCCGCCAGCGTGCCCGCCGCCGTACTGTTGTGCGAGGGCATTGTTCTGGAAGGCCGCTGCCTCCTCCTCGGCCGAGTGAGGTTTTTCGTTGCTTGCCTTACTGCCCATAGTGGATGGGGATCGACAGAGGGGTTCAGAGGGGTCCCGAAAGGGCGGGATGGCGAAGGGTATTAAGGAATCATTTCCTCTTCTACCCTTCTTCAGGACAAGCCCGGGTGCGAAAAGAAACCACTTATATCACTCTTACCGCTAGGACTTGGTAGCCCAAGACGCTAGTTGGAATAGCCTAGTAGATCGTCAAGGATGGCATGGGAACAGTAACCCCTAATCCACATGTAAGTGATGGATCCTTCACCCCACACGAGACGATATCGTCTTGTCCGTCGAGATCCTCCTAGCCTGATTTGTGTTATTTCCCTCTGCGTTGCTGACGGGAGGCTGAGAATAAGCTCGATACGCTTACCATAGGGTCGGGTCATGCTAAAGAGAGGAGCCAATCATGGATAGCGGGTAGACTTGACTATCAGAGACATCCATCACCTCATCGGATGAGGTGGGTGAAGACGTACCCTCTCCAATAAAAGTTGACATTGCGGTGGAGGGAATAACTGTTTCAGTAAACGTATGCACTAGGGTGCTTCGTCTCCGCAGATTATAGGACCTCCCTCCTTGATGCTAATCCGAGATTCGGTCCCTAATCGAGCTGACGGCGGGCATTCGAGCTTGACAGGAACTGTGAGTGGGTATACGTAAGTCACCTCGCTTGGAAACGTCAGGTTTGCGCCAATCGGTCAAAATGATACTACTCTAGGCTGGGAGGACTAAGAGGTGCTAGGCTATGTCCGTCCGCAGAGTAGTCAAGAAAGGTCCTAGGCAGGGTAGCTTGCGGGATGAAAAATTACGCTTTAAGATTCCAAGAACAGTTAGAAACTCTGCAACGGCAGGATAACCTTGGCTTAGGTAAGAGGACTATGCCCCTGATACCCACATGAGGTGAATAAAACGACCTAATTCTAGGCGTCCAGAGCGTTGCGGTAGGGTTACACGTGTTTTCCAGCAGGAATACTGGAACTGATCAGCTGTACCAGCCACGGCGCGATTCAACATAAGCTCTTTCCCATCGGAGTAAGCCCGTCAAGACCTTGGCTTGCTGTATGTAACTCTCGGACGAGAGTCTTCAGACGGCACGGAACAATCCTAGATGTCCCGAATGCTCCGACGTCAGAATCGTCGCCCACGAGCCACCGGCAAGGTTGTTTCTGCAGCATATAAATAGAGATCTACATGTGACTGTAGGCTTAACGCTTTTCAGCTCAAGCGCGATTAATGCACAACCGAATTAACTACGACAGCCATGTTTGGAATACCGTAGCACACTGTTTATTAGCCTTGTTCGTAGGGCCACGCTAGGCATACCAGTTCCCACCCGCATGCTACTAGTCCGCGGGCTAATACGAGTTCGGTCGGCCGTCAGGGACGAAATGATAACCCTGTCAATGCTGGGGCAGATAAAGATAGGGTAGTGATGTGAACAAGGTCTAGCTCCTTCGAGGGCATATCGTCCATTCCGTGATTATATGACATCCATGTCAAAATCTCGGTATACGTATTACAGGGTCCCAAGCCGCGAAGGGGGCGCTTAATGGCTTGATCCTTCTCGAATTACTATGTTACCACAAGATGGATTCACCTAAGCCAAGCTTGAACTTAGCCCCTTTCCTGGGCCAACGGCATAATGGATCTTTCCGAGGATATGTTGGCTCTTAGGGCCGGACGAGGCTTTATGAAATTCCATGTTATTTAATAAGTAGAACTGGGATTCCTCCGGAAGCCCAGTTCTGCTAGACCATCCGCCGTTCGTGCACTACCGGTATCCAACTAGCACTCTTGACGCCGAGCCGGTGTGAATAGCTAGAGCCCGCGATCTAAAGCCTTTGGCGCCAGCGCGAGCAAGACGACTATGGCGCGTTCTACTGTAGCCCAGGCTCTTGTTGGCCTCCTTTTTGCCTTCTCCTCAGTAGCAAGAGCTTCTCCGGACCAGGCTCTGTGCAACACAATCAAGACCAAGCTTGGCAATGACACTGTCGAAGCTACGGACGGTACCTACGAAGCTCTCAGCACCGAGAATTGGTATTGTTTACGTTTGTCCAATGTCGAGATTGGGTAACTAATTCTGGCATATAGGTCGCAAACTGTCTGGGCGAAGCCAGCATGCATCATCCAACCCTCCAACGCCAAGGAGCTCACATATGTCGTCTCGACCGTAGTAGGCCAGAAAGCGAAGTTCGCCATACGTTCTGGCGGACACTCGGTCGTCCCCGGAGCCGCAAACATCAATGGGGGCGTTTTGATCGATATGGCGCGATTCAACTCCGTGGAGTATGATGCGAACAAGAAAGTCGCGACGGTAGGCTCTGGACTTCGATGGAAAGAAGTCTACACCGCGTTGGATCCTTACAATGTGACCGTTGTTGGGGGCAGAGTCCTAGAAGTCGGTGTTGGTGGTTTGATCCTTGGAGGTGAGCCCTCCCCTTTCATTTCAGCTGGTGGGATGAATCGCTAACGATTGTTACAGGTGGTCTCTCTTACCTCGCGGACCTCCATGGGTTGGTTTGTGACAATGTAGTCAATTTTGAGGTAAGGGAGGCTTCAGCTGAAAACCCGCCCTGTTTGACCTAGTGCTGACTTAAGATCCGCATTGGTATAGGTTGTCACCGCAAAGGGAACTGTTGTAAACGCAAGCGCAACGTCCAACCCGGATTTATTCTGGGCTTTGAAGGGTGGAGCTAACAACTTCGGTAAGACGTGATAAAATGTGATTCCATTCTGTTATATAAACGGTTGGTCGGCTTACACATCAGCAGGCATCGTTACGAAGTTCACATTGAAGGCTTACGACATCCACGATGCATGGGGTGGCGTCAGGGTGTATTCGCTTGATGCCCTGCCAGCGCTGTTTGACGCCATGTACCAATACCAATCAGTTGCGAACAAGGACCCTTATGCGAACATCATGTTGCAAGCTTTCCCAACCAATGCGAGCATCGGTGCCATCCTGAACATGGTGTACCTGAAGCCAGAGGCAGAACCGGAAGCCTTTGCGCCTTTCCGAAATATCACGCCCCTAGCGGATCAGACCAAACTTCAGACACTGACTGAGCTCATGCTCGCGGCGCCTCTCCCTGAGCTAACGCGGTAAGTCCCAAGAAGGCCCGTGATAATTATTCCCTGTATTAATATGTTATTGCAGTGTGAACTGGTTCAGTTCGAGCTACACCACCGACAAAAAGTTATTCAGTCAAGTCGCTGATATCGTGACCAAAGCCCCGGAGATTGAGGAGATCTCCAATCTGACCGCGGGGTCCCTGGCTTTCGGCTGGCAGCCAATTTCGAGTAGCGCTGTCCTCGCGGGACATGCTAGCGGTGGAAACCCGCTAGGGCTACAACCGGTGAACCAGACTTGGCTCGTGTTGGATGTGGGCTGGTGGAAACCGGAAGATGACGAGCTTGCGCACAATTACACTCTGAGCATAATTGATAAGATCGACGACGCGTCCAAGGCCAGCGGTAACTACGTCGATTACATATTCATGAACGACGCTGCCGCCGATCAGCCCGTGATCGAACATTACGGGCAAGAAAACGTGGCGAAGCTGAAGGCCACAGCGCGGAAGTACGACCCTGACCAAGTCTTCCAGAACCTGGCTTCAGGGGGGTTCAAGTTACCTTGAAGTTACCCTGACACCTTGAGGTCCGAAGATATTTCTTTGGTAGATATGCAAGGCCGATGTAACCTAGCTGGCCAATGGCAGAATAAGGATTTTCCAGAATTGTAATGTATATTGTATATATTAAGATACCCCTATGCTGACTTGCGGTTAAGTGTTGTATGCGAACATACTATGTAGTAGTGAGATAGTAGTGGGATATGTAGCGCTTTGAGCTCTTGGAATTCCTTGGTGTATTTATCAAAGCTATCACCTATCTAGAAACGTAGCTTAGCACCGGTGCCGAATCTATCGAATATCTCCGTAGCTTATAAATAGTGTCTTCCAAGAGCCGTGAGAACCGTGCGAGCCATCAGGTAGTTCTTCAAGGACTATCGCTGAAGATGGAAACAAGCGCCGTTTCTGGTGGAATGCGGATTCATATTAGCGACTATAGAATTCTATAGCCGAGAATTAGCTAACTAGAAGCTGTTTAGCTTTTCAGTAGCTTCTGATATCGGCGTAGAATTAGCTGTGCCGCAACCTTACTTTTAGGCTCGTGGATCTCGCGATCATTGTTACGTACGTCAAGTATCTCAGAGATCTCGCCGAGAAATTTGAATAAGCAAGGACCGTAAGACGGGCGGAAGAGGGCGGACATGGGGGTCCTCCTTAAGCCACCTAATTCAGATTCAGCCCTAGCGCGCCTTGATGGGCAACAATGCAACACAGTCTGGATCCTCCCGGACTGTCTGGAGATGGCTGTTATGCGCTAACTTCCTTGGAACTGGGCTGGCCAAGGTCCCACCTTGTCCATATCGTATGTTGAACGAGCCCGTTCGCAAACTATTCCACCCTGTTCACCCTTATTCACCCACGACCGGCACTTAGGGGGTACCCTAAGAGGAACAGACGATGGGCAATGCATCCCGGTCGGTCTAAAATAAGGCTGATGACTGATAAACTCGAGCAATTAGGTAAGGTCAAATGCAGACGGAATCACATTGCCGAGACGAGCCAGAAATGGGTGGCAAAAGAGGCCCGAAGCTGTCAATCCAAATTACGGCGTCGCAATGCCACGCACGTACGAGTATCATAGACAAAACGAGATGTTCAGGAGGAGCTGAATATACCATTCAAACCGTCGGAAACGCCGGAGAATCACGTCGTGAAGCCACATCAATAACCACCTTCAGCTTGTAACACTACACTTACTACAAACTTACCCTCTACCTAGGTATATAGTAAGGGTGAAGTGAAGTTGGACGTGCCGTTGCCTAGAAATTTCGGCAACCGGAAAGAATTGTGGTCAGGGACTCTGCGAAACATGGCTAAGGATCCATATCTAGGGCGTGTGATTACGGCGTAAGTTGCCCTCTCCTACCCCCGATCGCAGTTCTAGCCATGTGGGAACCCAATTTTGGAGTGGAACAGTAAGAACTTTGTTTTTGTTTTTTTCTCGTTGCTAAACATGAGGATCGTCGTTCGCCCCGCTGCAGCTTCGAGGGCGGCATCACCACACGTGTGATCACCCACCCCTCTCATCCCGACCGCGTATTCGCCTACGAGGTGACATTCCTGCTTCAACACCCACGTGTCATTGCGGTGGCGTCGCAGAAGCCGCCGTTGCACTTTCACCCGCACCAGGAGGAGTACCTTCAAGTGCTCGAAGGACGCTTGGCGTTCGAGATCGAAGGCAAGGAGCACATTATTAGTCCCGAGGATGGAGAGGTTAGCGTCCGCCCGTGGACGAACCACAGGCTGTACTCGCCGGCGTCTAAGGGCACCGAGAGCGATTCGAACGTGACGAGGTTCATGCTTTCGGCTGATAGCACGCCCGAGCTGTTCAGGCTTGATACGGTCTTCTTTGAGAATTGGTACGCCTACCAGGATCAGATCGTCGTAAAGGGAGATAAGATCGACTTGATTCAGGTAATGAGCGTAAGTCATTGACCCATTGGAAATTCTAAGTACCCGTGTTGACATGTTCGTAGATGTTTGATGCGGGCGGTTCTTACCTGTCGCTCCCATGGTGGATACCATTCAGTAGGACGATAGCACGAGGGTTGGGAATTTTGGTAGGTAGATGGATAGGAGGTATTCTGGGATATCGGCCATTTCATCGTAAATGGACGACAGACTGGGAGTTTGCGTGCCGCAAGATGGAAAACTCAATCTTCCAAAGACGATTTGCTGATCGATCCAAGACGGAGTAAAGTTTGTTCAATACTCTCTAAATTTAGCAGTGGCTCGAACATGGCGCTCGCTTCACCCATTCTGCATGAGATTCGGATATATTCGTCCAATTGATGGAAACTGTATTCTCAGAAATGACAGAAGTCCGCCACCTATCCTCGTAACCTACCTATGAAAACCAGACCGAAACAGCTATCTTATGTAGTCTCATCCCTCGTCATTCATCTCCCATGTGCCTCGTTCAAATGCTATCTGCGAGAACAGTATTCTCCTTCGTAATCTTTGCCCATTCGGCACTCTTAGCCCACAACTTCTGCTGTTTATCCTCATTTAGACTGTCTGGAGAGCTAGGCTCTCTCTTCAGCTGCTTCAGGTAACCACGCTCTCCTGGATATGCTTTGTTCGTGGCCAGATCAATGACATCTACGCCAGCTTCTGTCGTTGTGCGCAGGGTCGGATCCGCGTAGCGGAGAATGGGTCGCAAAGGTTGAAGCGCAAACCTCTGAACGTACTGGAGAAACTTGGGCGTGTTCGTGCGCAGCGCCCGTGAATCAGCAAGGTTGCCCGGGTCAATTATGATGGCCGTGATCTTGCGCAGTTCTTCGTTCTAAACAATATATTAGTAAGATGTTCAGATAAAGTGAATAAATCGATACACACCTTCTCAAGATACCTATTCAGCGCAAATCCCCACATGAGGATAGCTAATTTCGAGTTGGCATATCGGTTGAAGCCGCGACCGAGTTTGTCGGCATCTGGAGAGGCTTTCAACAATGAATCTAGGTCGTCGGGGATACCTGGCGGGTATTTCTCCAGACCATTCTTGCCGGGGAAGTGTCCGTCGCTGGTGAAAAGCACGATACGACCACCCTCAGGCCCGAAGCTACCTAGAAGTCGAAGGACCAAGGCGGCATGAGAGATGTGGTTCACCTGGATGGTTGTCTCAACTCCATCCGCCGTGAACTCGGGGTCGCGAGCCAAATTCCAGTAGTACGCATTGCAGACGATGCTAGCAAGCGGCGGCAACTTCTTGTCTGCAATCTCGGCAGCAATTGTGCCAGCAAACTCGTGCACGGCGTTGAGGTTAGCTAGATCTAGTTGGCGGATAGACGTCTTAGCGTTCGGGAAGCTCGCGATCGTCTCACGCAGCTTCTTGGTGTTGGAGTCCGAATCATCGGTATTGCGGACAGTTAAGACCGCTGTATAATCGGGATATTTCTCCAAAAGATGCTTCACAGCAGGGATAGCAACAGAGCCGTTTGCCCCAGTGATGATAATAGTGCCGGTCATGATGTAGTTTATAGTGCCAATGTGTAAGAGGTTGTAGCTTGACAAGCTGCAAGTATGAGTTCCACTATAGCTCTTAGATTTAGGTGCTTAGGTAGGTAGTAGGTAAGCTGCCAAAAGTTTAGTTTGGGATGAAGGAACGAGCTATTCATTAGCCTGCTATGGCTGTAAGTAATAAGTGTGTAGATGTGAGTGGGTAAGGGCCGGGTAGCTTTGTAAGCTATGGTCCACCTTATTCATGGCGTAACTGAACCGCCGGCCGGGGAGATAGCTCTGCTGCATGACGATACCATCATACTGATCAAGTTCGACTGGTACCTGGCTTGTAGACTTGTAATGGGTATGCTGTAGAGGTATCTCGTTAGCTGAATGTTCAAAGATTATACTGGAGTGCATTACTAGCGTATATCATCCACCAGCCATTTTGATCCTTCTACACGGTGGGAAGCACGGTATAGGAACCAGGGAACTATTACTGGAGCTTAACACTATTAGGTAAGGCGTCCAGTGGCTGGGGCTACGCCGTAACTCTCCGATTTAAGCAATGATACACAGTAAACGAATTCATGCTAGGATATTCATACTGTGTTCCCCAAATGTAACATTCAAAGTAATCCTGCCACTTTAGGTTGATATCTTCCTTCGCCTGAACAGATGGGTTGCTTTCGAATATGCTGCGCGGTGTTACTTGATAAATTATGGATCGTTTCTCCTCTTCTGTTGACTTCCAGTATTTGTATTGTATATTTAGCGGAGAGGGTAGTTTGCTATATTCATAGAAGGACAAAGCATTGCTTTTACAGCTGTGGAAATATTATTAGTCTAACAATAGGATATAATGCTGGTTAGCGTGACTACGTGTAAAACAAGTAGCTCTCGAAATAAGCTACATTAGCGTCCATCTATAGATTGGATGGGGATACTTCTCGTAGAGTACCTAGAATGTAGAACGAAAAAAAAAGGGATGCATTTTAAAAGTTGTGATAAGGCTATAATTATTTGATGATTTATTAGGTTTCTGGGGTTTTGATCAAGAAGGGCTATTAATACTGATTTCCGCGGTATTAATCCTTACCTGTATACCTTGGTAGGATCACACGCATAGCAACATTACTTATGCTAATGTCCGGTCATCGCGATGGCTCTCAATACGCCTATACGTATAGGACGTATATGTCGTCTTGTCACGTTGTTAGGACTTAACGGGTACAGGGCTGTCTTTTCTATTAACTTTATGGTGTCAAGGTGCGAGTGGGCGGTCTCTTTTAAGTAATAGTGAAATAACTCCGAAAATACGGCGATGAGATCTCTTGTATCTCTACTAGGCAAGTCATCGCGGCGGCCGATAAACATCTGACGTCTGCATGATCCTATTAGCTATTTTGGTAGGATATTATAATGTTGGTCACGAGAGCAGATCCTCATCAATATTTTCCCCGGAGGTATGTATTGATGAAGCCTCAACTCGGATTTCTGGTTCTTACAGCCGGCGTGGCGCCGAACCTTCGGAAACTTCTCTCTGGAAATCGACCTCGATTTACCTGCAGGCCGTATCTCAAACCGGGGATTATACAGTTTGACAAGGGGGGTCTCGGCACTTGATTAATTGATCGTCGATTTTGTATATGAATGTAGGTGCTGCCGAGGTTCGTCGGACGCTAGTCTTTAAGCTGTGCTTTGGTTCCTTGAGAGCTTCTCTTCTGGCAACACCGAAAAAGAAATAAGAAACAATATCAAACGTTTCGAATAGTGACCTGGAGTACTCGGGCAGCTCGGGATACCAGCAAGTAGACAGTTCATGCCTACTATATGTAGGTAGCCATACCTCTTAGGTATGTTGTACGAAGCTAGCATCGAGCTGAAAAGCAGACGGCAGAAGCTTGACATCAGGACCCCTAAACCCACCAATGACGTCAATCGAAATAGACGGGCTGATAATGACATGAACCTACCTACATACATAAGCGTGTTGGCGCGTGCTCAGAAGCAAGGTCAAGCATGAGTGAGCACTGCATATAGCAGATAATAATGTATATTACCTCTCTGTCAACGGCAACGGAACGGATTGATGCCGATGGTGAATGCGAATTTGAAGTCAAAAGCCAATTAGGTTCATTTCATCTCTTGCATGGTTTAAGAATGAGAATGAGAACACCCACATTTCGCACACTTCGGATTCGGATTTGGTTGAGGGGTTGATCAAATTCATGTTCCGTGGATGGACAAATTGAAATCACATTTGGAAGGTCGAATTTGATCATGCTGTATTATGCTATGGTCTTTTGGTGCATACTCCATATTGCTTAAAACTCCATAATACAGTATCAAAGTAAATGAACTGAGAGAAGCGCGCTTACCCCGCGGCAATCAACGCAATCATGCACTAATCCGGTATCTAAGTATATAGTTCCTTCCTAGGCGCGCCGGTCCAAGCCGCCCAAAACACAAGACCTGGGCAGCTGCATCACAGTCGTCACCTGCCCGCAATGTGCATACCTAACGCCGACAATTTCTCAAGTACTTAATACTTGTCCGTACAAGCCACCACAACCCACCACGCACCATCACCATCCGGGCGCGCAAGTAAGTGGTACATCCACCCCTCTAGGGTTCTAAATCAACAATACATGTACGTCCAATACATTCAATTCATAGGTACGCACTTCCCTTGGGTTCCCTGGATACTGCCGTACTTACCATAGCACCGTAGTTACCAAGTCTTCTCCTTCCCAACAATCATCACCCCATCTTCGCATCCATCGTCGCCCGCAATTTCTGCTTTTTGTTTTCTCCTTCTTCATCTTGCGAATTACATCCACAACATCTTGGTGTAAGGGGGAAAGGGAAAGCGACAGCCGGTCACTGCGCTCGTTTTGTTGGAAGATTTTCCCATTGTTATTTTCCCCGACTAATTTGAAGATCGAAACAATTGGATGGTATAGCAAATTACTATTACTACTGCCGCTACTATTACCACCGCCATACCACCCATACTACCATACTACCATACTACCATACTACTATACCACCACACTACCGCACTACCAACCCTTACCGCCAACCCCTCGATCCACCTTGTCGAATCCTTCGAAATCGACATCGTCATCCACCGTCCCCGCCGACAATCCACCAAGTCGCTATAGACGCCCAAATATTCGAGACCTACAAAAATAACGAGACATCGATATATCGACCTAACCACCAACCGGAATTGCCAAAATGCGGCCTCCGGCTCCTTCTCTCGATGTCATAGCAGCTCGTAATTCTGCTGCTGCCGCCGCCGCTGCGAATGCCACTGCAGTCGCCGCTCCAGCCGCCAGCGCTCCTTCGGGCTCCAATATGAACTCGAACACGACGAACCAGGCGGATGATTCTAGGGACTCGAGATCGTCGTCGTCGACAAACTCTCCAGTTCCTGCGGACAATGAAGAGTCTGATTTCTTCCACGTAGCAAATGATTCGCAATCTTCTTTAGGAGTGGTACCCAACTTGCAAGATATGCAAGTCACCGACCAAGAATGTCTCCCGACCGTTGCTGCACTTCCCAGCGAGATCCTTATTAGTATATTCTCCCGAATCAACAGCCCCGGCGAGCTTCTGAATTGCATGTTGACTTGCAAGCGATGGGCCCGCAACGTCGTCGAGATCCTTTGGCACCGCCCGACCTGCACCTCATGGCAGAAGCATAAAGCTATCTGCGCTACCTTGGGATTAGAGCGACCATACTTTACGTACACCGACTTTGTTAAACGCCTTAACTTGGCCGCCCTAGCTGACAAGGTCAACGATGGCAGTGTCATGCCGCTTGCCGTCTGCACCCGAGTCGAGCGTCTTACATTGACCAATTGTCATGGCTTGACCGATTTGGGGTTGATACCCCTTGTCACGAGCAACCAACACCTGCTGGCGCTTGACATTTCTGGCGACGTCAACGTTACCGAGAAGTCCATCATCGCCATTGCCGAGAATTGTCGCAGACTCCAGGGTCTGAACGTGTCGAATTGTAAACAGATCTCTAATGAGAGTATGATTCAGCTTGCCGAGAATTGTAGATACATCAAGCGAGTAAGTCTCCTCTTCCCCAATACTAATCCTTATTTGTTCTACTATTTGCCATAGCCACGCCACTCAGGGTATCACATGCTAACCACAACTGCTAATTCCTGGCAAACAGCTTAAGTTGAACGATTGCGATCAGCTGAACGATGCTGCCGTCATCGCCTTCGCTAATAACTGCCCGAACATTCTTGAGATCGACCTTCACCAATGTGTGAATATCGGCAACGAACCCGTTACCGCCCTCCTGTCCAAAGGCCAGTCTCTCCGAGAATTTCGACTGGTCAACTGCGACCTCATCGACGACGGCGCATTCCTATCACTGCCCTCTAATAGAATCTACGAACACCTCCGTATCCTTGATCTTACTTCTTGTACCCGACTTACGGATCGCGCTGTCGAGCGCATTATCGATGTGGCCCCGCGATTACGAAACTTGATCCTGGCCAAGTGCCACAACATCACTGATGCCGCTGTATATGCCATATCTCGCCTGGGCAAGAACCTACATTTTATCCACCTCGGCCACTGCAGACACATCACAGACGACGCAGTCAAGCGCTTAGTGCAGTGCTGTAATCGTATTCGCTACGTCGACCTTGGCTGTTGCACCCATCTTACGGACGAGTCCGTTATACAATTAGCAAGGCTTCCGAAGCTAAAGAGGATTGGGTTGGTGAAGTGTAGTAGTATCACGGACGAAAGCATGTATGCGCTAGCTGGGGCAAACCGCCATGCTCAATCCAGGCGTAACACGACTGGTAACACGGCTAGAAGACATGAGTACCACACGGGTAGCTTGGAACGAGTTCATCTTAGCTACTGTACCAACTTGACTCTCCCGGTACGATCTAGTCTCCTCCAGCATACCTGACAAGGAAAAATGCTAATACTTCTACAGAGTATCATCAAATTGCTCAACTGCTGCCCGAAGCTCACACACCTGAGTTTGACCGGCGTACCTGCTTTTCTCCGCGATGACTTGGAGAACTTCTGTCGTGAAGCCCCTCCAGGTAAGTTTCTCAGTTCAACCTGTTTGCCCGTCTGCGAATACTAAAAAAAACTATTAGATTTCACGGACCATCAGCGTGCCGTATTCTGTGTTTTCTCTGGCCAAGGTGTCACTGGTCTTCGGAACTATCTCAACACCCACCCTGATTTTGCCGACTACCATCTGCCACAGACGAATCTCTTTTCGCCGCGAAGATCTGTCCAGATTAACCAAGATATAGGCCAGGTCCAAGGACAGGGTGCTGCTACTGCACCAGCACCCGACATGGACGGTTTTGACGATGCTGATGGAGTCGAGGATGACGACATGGGTGACGGAAGCGAGATTGCTCTCGAGACCGAAAACCCTACGAACGGAACCAACGCTGCAATCCCTCCTCCGCCTCCACCTCCGCCGCATCATCCTGGCCCCTCCTTTCCACTTGGACATTCCATACGTCCCCTTAACCTTCCACAACAAGCGCCGCATTTAGACGCTTCAGCTAGGACGGTTTTTGGCTCGAGCGCGGTTCGAAATCAGCACAGTGCTAGTGCTCCTATGGATAGCACAGCGGGCCCCAGCACTGCCGGTTCAACCCTTTTTACGAACCAGGGCAATTCCGGTCCCAGCACAGCTTCTATGCAAGGGAATGCTGAGGAAGACGACGAGGAGACGCAATCATAGGTTATGGTTTGCTGCTCCATGTTATCTTCGGATGGACCGAAAGTATACCCCGTTTCATGTGCGGCCCTCTAGGCCAGCAGATATGTTGCCTAGAATAGCCATGTCTTGGAAGTGGAACATGTATTAAGACTGACCGGAGGTGCTTGAAGCCTACCAAGTCCGTCTGGCGCTCGATTCACCTGTTCCTGTACACTTCTCCTGTTCCTGATGTCTGAGAGAGGTTGAGGTTCTCACAAAACCCTTTGCCACATAAAGTTGCGCTTGGTACGAGACTACATCAAACTGCACACTTCAGATTATTGGCTGTCTTGAGCCTTGTATTAAATTGCGACTATGGCTCGGACAATCGAACATTGAGGCAGCATCTGGCTTACATGCCTGTGCTAAGGATCGCATGCCTCGTAAAACAACTAATAGCACAAACCCCTTACAAAGCAACAGAACTGTTAAAGAAGCTCATGATACAAACGATGGCGGCGTATAGGCGATGAACATAGTTTTGCGGGAGTCATAAAGATACCAAGTGTGATCAGTGTTGGAGGGAGTGGTTATGATGAAACAATGCAGTCATGCAACGTTTATTTGCTCCCTGTTTTTTCGCGGTGATGCAGCAAACTACAGACATGTTCAGTTCTTCGTTGCAGGCACGTTGTTGGGGCGGCTAGATGTCTTATGAATAGAAAATCCTTTTCTGTTCTCTTATCATACTGTGTCCTCTTTCCCTATGCTAAGTGTTAGGCTAATGGCTATTATTTTTGGGAGGTTTTAGTAATTCAAGATTGAGAAGGGCGTAGAAAACGTGCCCAATTTGAAATCCCGAGGGTCTCGTTTAGCTTGTGTAAGCTGGTAGATCAATCGCAGTTGCCCAGCCGGTTCAGATAGGTGGTAACTAGACAAATTTTAAAGGGGGGAAAATACGATTGAAGACGGGCTTATCCGTCTCGGTCCCGAGTATCCACCCCCGGCAAGAGTCCCGGAACCGAGAGTCTTATCAGCAGCCTATCTTCTTATCGATAAATCGGTCGATATTGATTGTTGTATCTGGTCCTGATTCCGGCTCCGTACATTTCCGTATAATCAAACTCCGGGCAGGATTTCATTGCTAAGTAGACCGGACTGTAGACGGCGTTAGGCTGACGGACGCCAGCGCGAGGGAATCAATTAATTCCCACGGCCCGATGTCGAACCGAACCAGAAAACGAGCCTACCGTCTTAGCTTGCGGAGTGGCTCGCTTATTCTGGCGCCGGTGTGCTAGGAATCCATTTGTCAGACGGTATCAATTTTTCGGTATTCGGACACATTATAGAGTCCTGTTACGACGAACTCCCTATAAGAGAGATGAATATTTAAAGGTCGTAGGTTTCCTACAACCTAGCTTGGAAACGTCGTCTCAGTCTACAATTTAATCAATTTAATATCATATAGCCTCATCTAAAAGTCACGACTTCCACTTTCTAAATACCATTCCACAGCCTTACCTTATTTCATCTCGCATTTAGACAGCACCTATTAACCACATCATCATCATCACCCTCATTCGTCATGGCCACCACCACCAACACACCCAAAATAGCCATCATAGGCGCGGGTCCCGTCGGCTTAACCCTCGCCGCCATCCTGCACCGCAACGGCATCAGGTCCACCGTCTTCGAGCGCGAGACCAGCGCCGCCGTCCGCGCGCAGGGCGGCACCCTGGATATCCACGCCGACGCCGGGCAGCGCGCGCTCGTCGCCGCGGGCTTGTTAGGCGAATTCAGGAAGCGGGCCAGAGAGGAGGGCGAGGCGATGCGGCTTCTTAGGGGGGATGGGACGGTGGTGCTTGATGAGGATGTGGAGCAGGTACCGTCGTCGCAAAAAGAGAAGAGGGGTGGTGGAAAGGAGGAGAAAGGAGGAAAGGGAGAGGGAGAGAAAGAGGGAGAGGAAGAGGCCCGCGGACGCCCGGAGATTGATCGGCGCGATTTGAAGGATTTGCTTATCGCGGCGCTGCCGAGGGGGTATGTTCGCTGGGGCAAGGGCGTTAAATCTATCACGGCGGTGCCGGGGACGGCGCAGTGGATGCTTGATTTCATTGGCGAGGATAATGAAAACGATCACGACGACGACGAATCTGGGCCGTATGATCTCGTCCTCGGCGCCGATGGCGCGTGGTCCCGCGTTCGGCCTCTGCTTACGGATGTCAGGCCGCTGTATTCGGGCATCATATCACTCGATATATGGATCTCAGCCGAGCAGCTCAAGAATAGGCCCGACATAGCAAATTTCATCGGAAAGGGGACGTGTATGATAATCAGCGAGGGCCGCTCGATGGCGCTGCAGCGACACAGCGACGGGAGCGCGCGCGCATACGTCGACGTCCAGACGCACAAGCATGTCGGCGGGGAGGTGCCGAGCGCGAAGGAATTACTCAAGTTTTCCGAGGAAGAGAGCGAGAAATTAGGGGAAGAGAGAGGGGGAGAGGTAGACTGGACGGACGAGAAAACGCGAAAGAGGTTCCTGGACACGCACTTCGGCGACTGGGCACAGGAGCCGATCGACGTGGCCACGGCTATGACGGAGCGGCCGACGCTGCGCCCGTTGTATATGCTGCCCGTGGGTCACAGGTGGGAGGGCCGCCCTGGCGTGTCGCTGCTGGGCGACGCGGCGCATCTTATGACGCCGTTTGCGGGGGCTGGGGTCAACGTGGGGATGGTGGATGCTTTGGAGCTGGCGGAGGGGATCGTGGGGTATGTTAATGGAGGGGAGAAGGGGGCGGACGAGCTGGCGAGGGTGTTGAGGAGGTATGAGGAGGGTATGTTTGAGCGGTCGAGTAGGGACGCGGCGTTCACGGCGCAGATGATGGTTATATCCCATGAGGATGGCGGGGCGGAGAGGCTTAGGGATATTGTGACGGGTGGGGGTTTGGATGAGTGAAGTTGGGTAATTACCTAAGTAACTATAGGTAGGCGGTATATGTGGAAGATGGTAGGCTTGCTTGTAGGATATACAAATAGGTTCCAAGATATCCCTTAGTGTTTTAGGTCAACATTTTCAACTAGTCTTTTTAATCCTACCTATGTAGGTATATGCTTTTCGATGCCGGAGAAGTCATCTAGAAATAGCTACTAGATCAAGCGACGCAGTTCAACACTATGGTTCTCCCTAAGAGGTATCTGTTACGATCTAATGCTTTTGATATTAGTAGCGGCAACTAGCTACGTTTGAATCACTAGTCACTTGGCGGAACCGTCAGCTTCGTAAGGAAAGGCGCCCTATCGTTATGCCTCGGTCCGGGACCCCGGGGCTGAAGCTGTGGCCATGGCTTATTGCCTTGCCGGCACGCTCGTGACGATAAGCGACGAAGCTTCACTGGTGGAAATGCACTCCGCATGGGTGTCCCTAATTCGGACCCCCACGTAGGGACGTATAAAACCCCTAACAGCTGTTTCCTGTGACCCCAAACCTTCTTCCTTCATAGTGGTCTCCAGTTGTCGCAAATAAACTTATAGCTCATATCTGTCCCGCAAACTTCCACGCCTTGGCTTGAAAAATCCTTTAAATTGCTAAGTACGCACAGTCACATCAATATAGACGAAAGATACGACCAATGATTGGGTAGAATCTCATGATCGGGATTTGGAAGAGCACAGTTGTAACAATGTGAAGTGAAACATTGGGCTGAGTGGCAGAACGTTGCCGAACGCATTGTTACGAAGCCGGTACGCCGTCACTCAAACCGGGCAAACACAGTAGTCACGAGTTCCATCCCTTGCTGGAAGGATGCCGCCGGCTTTTGATATAGCATTCCTACCTACACCGCGGCCCCGATCCTTCGGTGTCGCACGCCGGCGCTGACATACCTATCTTCTAGTCTACGGACACACAATCAACAATCTTGTGCGACATCGTGGCTTTTCGATTGCGGTACCGCTCTTCGCATATGCTGAGGAATTTAAATCGACCGACCGGGCGTCGTTGCGTACATTCCACAAGCTCTAGCGCATTCAGAAGTCTAGACTTTCAGCTCGTATCTTCGACGAATCGATCCCCCAAGTGCGCCTCGTTGAGATACTAGCCGTAGAGATCGAGGAGCTTTGTGCGAAGGTGACGCAAGGGAGAGGTGAAAGAGGCGAAATATTTAAGCGCCTGATCCTGGACCGAAAGCTCGCGATAGATTGAGGCGAATGGAAGATAGGTAGGGACAAGGTCGCATCGTATATACCATTGAGGCTATCGTGGATTAGCGAAGAGATGGCAAACAACTTTATTTCCCGGGATTCGCAGCTCCGCCGTAATGGATTTCCCCGGAATACTTCAAGGGAAGTTGTTGCTGATCATCTGAAAACTGGACCCGGAACCTGGAGTCTGGGTCTGGATTGTTGTTTTGATGGAGACGACACGTGAAATCGCGAGACAAGAAATGCCTATTGGTTCAGGACGTCTGGAGATTGAGAAACAACCGTGATTGGTTCTCAGTGAGCTCAATTCTGACTCCGCCCTATGTTCTCTCCTCTTTGTTCGTCTCGACAGGCCTAGATTCTGGGCTCGGTGTTTGTGCGTTTGGGTTCGCATCGGATATTGGATACAACGTAGGGGGTAGCAGCGTTGAAACTGGGCCTACTTCCGCACACCGCCCACGTGTGTCGCTTATTTTGTCTACATTTCTCCAACGTCCATCAATTCTTAATATGAAAGGATACTTCAAGTTTAAAGGCAAGATGTTATTCCTCAATCTTGACAGATGGGTTTGGAGATTCTGATGTAATATGTCAATTTAAGCATTCTCCGTGGTGAGTCCGTACGACATCCGACATGCACGTATGATAGCTACTATATTAGTCTGCAGCGGTGTTTAGCAGTAGCTCGAAATAAGGATTGAGCTATTGCTACTTGGTAGCGATCAAGTCCAGACCAAAACTTTGAAGGTCGGTTATTACAATTAAGAGAGATATGCATGTCATGTTTGCGCCTCTCTAATCCTACTATCATAACTTCTGAAACAGGCTACAGCTTAGGTATGATCTAGATCTATAGATCGACGTCTTAGAAGTGCACTTTTTGTTGCTGCTTAACCATGATGCTGGTATCGTTACTCGGTGTCTTGAATGCCAGAGCTAATGTCGACGCAAGCGATTAACCCTGCCTGCTGATATGCCCCATGCCGCCTAAGTGCTTTTAGCTGAGCGCCATTCCCGCACAGCACCTACCGCAATTTACGCGAAAAGAGACAGCGACATCTGGAATGGCTTTATCTCCTCTCCGCCATACGGCGCTGGTAGAGTTGTATCGCATGTCGACTCTTCTATCAACGAATGGCGCCGAGTTATCTCGCTGCATGCGCGATCCCGTCTGAAAATACAGGCACAGATCCTACCTACATGCCTTCCTTACTGCCACCTATAGCGACGGATCTGAGCTTGGAATAAAATCGAAGGCATCCAGAATAGTATTAGGGTGATTTACTCCGCACGAAGGAACAAAAAGATGTTGACTCGGCCTTGTATCCGTGAGGGGTAACGATTTGCAGCACTAATAACTCGTACGGACACGGACGAAAGCACCATGGCGGAGAGTGACGGAAAAAACGGTTCCTTAATAAACCTGCCTACTTTGTCTTAGCAGCGTAGCATCTGATCTTGCAGACTCATTGCGCTGTTGTATTGTATCTACAGTATTAATCTAGATGTACAATCCTACACACATGCTATCGAGTGTTACGTACCATATTTTACCCATAGGATGCGTACTATTAATTCGCATAAGTAACAATGTGGCGACGGATGGCGACGGATTTAATTCATCTCGTACGATCTACCAGCTTTTGTCGTTTCTTACGCTGCAGTAGATATTGTAGCGATCCGTGCTCTGCAGGGGTTAAGTCAAGAATAGCAACTTCATTATTGGCTATTGGACGGTTTACTGTGCTATGCTTACCGAATATCAAGATTTTTTAGTACAATCCGTTTTCATAGTCTAATCAGGTAACTTTGAGCCGAGCAGCATCTTGTCAAATCGCTTCTCGGGATAGTGTTTCGAAACTTCGGCGCCGGCCGTCCTAGAGTTGTAGTCTCCCAAAACCCGTCACGTGGACGAATTCATTACCAAGGACGCGACGATGCTTGACGTTGCTTGACTTTATTTAGTGGAAAAGTTGGGAAAATGTGGAAAAGGAGGGGACCCCAAGACATGTGCGGAGAGTGGAGATGACTTCTAGGCTCTGGTGGGCTTTGGGGTTGTAGGGGATGGTGGTACCAAGTAATAAAGATGTGGAAAGAATTTGTGGGCATCCCTTGTCGTATCCTCCAATGATATTGCTTCTTTCAAAACCGCTTAGGATCTTTTTTCACGCCGGAGCCAATCTTGGGCTTTGTTAGGCTTGGGAAGTCCCTGCTAATCATTAGACGCGCTGATCTTTACATATTTCGCCGAGCTGAGACGAACAAACCATACGTGACATGAAAAATCGTATTGGATCAATCTAACCGTAACTCATTATTCATGTTGGTTCAGACCGTACCGCCGCACTGGCGCAAATATAAAAAAGAGACTGACATAACAAATTTAGACATATGTAGGTATGTATGTTACCAAACCAAACCAAACCAACAGACCGAAACCCCAACTTCATTTAGCAAAGAGAACTAGTGGAGGCGGGGGGCAAACCTGGAGACAAGGACTATACCGTCAGAACTAGGTCAAATGAGGCATAGTAGCAAATAAAAAACATTAATCAGGATAGGAGAAGATGGGGAGAAGATGGGGAAGCGGCAGAAAGCACATGCTAACGGTGAGGATGGACGATGTAAGCGAGCAAGCGAACTAGGTAAGATTCAGAACAAAGCTCTTTCAAAACCAAGAACTACCAAGAAGCTAAGCCTGCTTCCCCCGCAGGAATCACATTGATATAACAGATGGGAATGAAGCAACTGTCGTCATAGTCATAAGCTCTCTCTCTTCATTAGCCAGAAACGGTTTAACGATTTTCTTTTCTCCTGTTTCTTGGCTTACTCTTCCCCTCAACGTCCCGTAGGTAAGGTACGGTACTACTCTTCTTGGGGATTCGTCGGTCCATTGGCGTTCCTATCCCATGTACACTACTATGCTACACACATACGACACGATGACCACTAAGGCATTGGGTTACACGTATGCCTAGCCGGCTAGATGGAATACTCACCGCTTAAGATAAGCTATGTATGACAGCTATGGACGTACTAAGTCGTACCTTGTATCTTAATATGCAGAGCCTCAAGTCATAGTAACGGTATTATCTCATGTACAATGAGACACTCAGCTCAGGCATGTAAGACAGATTTGATAGGCTGACCGGTTTTGATTTTGTACTACCACACTGATCTCCAGACGGGCATAGCCTAGGTATTTGCAGCTGTTGCTGCTAGGTACCTACTAAAATGAAAGGCAAAAGCAAGGCGGGAAGCTAAGCCGAAGACTTCGGAACCAGAGACAAGAGGCAGAGACATGACCGAATGTAGACAAAGCCTTTCTAGAATGCCTAGGATTACCTACACTTCCTCGGCTAGTCCGAATTTCTGGCATATACGCAACAAGAAAAAATACCTGGCTACTTGCCAACAAGATACCCTTGCTTCATCAGATGACTGATTGCTCACGAGAGAGGTAAAATAAAAAAAGCCATCACCAAACATCCATTCTTGTCCGTCATCTCGACACACATCTCTATTCGTTGCCAGCAGCCCGCTGCCACTAGCCGCTTCCGGTCTGCACAACATCCTTGTTCCTCTGTATAGTAGAGGCTTGCTTCATCCACACATCCGCGCCATCATTCCTCTTGCCAAGATGCGCCTACGGTGGAGTTAGGCATGGTCAATCCGGCCGCTTACCATCGCTCAAAAGCTCTTTGCCACAGGCTCACTGGACAGGCACTCCGGAGGGCAGAACCAGTACCTAGACAGCTAGACCCCGTCTGGTTACCGGCACGCCGAATCCTCTTCGCTGCTCGCAGCCGGGATCTTAGCAAGCCCCCAGCAAGCCATGGCTAGCATCCTTCGCGTGTCGCCATCCTTGGCCCTCATGGATGACCCCGGTACGTACTAATTCGTATGCCATCCATATGGGTGGGGGGAAGAGCCTTGTTCTATGGGGTAGTGGTACCCGTCTGGGGTTCTCTCGCCCGAGCTGTCGATTGAGTTTTGCGATTGGGATTGGGATCTTCGTCCTTGCTTACGAGCTGTGTCGCGCGCCATGCTTGTGGTGGCGCTCTCTTTGTTGAGTAATATAAGGCTCGGGGCCTGCCCTTTGTTACACTTCAACCCCATCTCGACTCTTATTCCCGTCCCCTTCCTCTTCGTATCAAGGTGTCGTCGCTTACTCACGTTGCAGAGGTTGGTATAATTCCCTCCTCTGCTGGCGGTGATCTCAAGCTTTCTCTTCTTCAATCCCTTCCTTACCACAATTCACCCTACCGACTGTTACCTCACGGACTAAATCACAATGTCTGAGAAGGGTCAGGCTGATGCGTAGGTTTCCCCTCCACACGAGCTTACTCTTCGAGCCATAAGTTTCTAACTCGCCAGCTACAGCATCGAGCCTAAGGGCGTCGAGGGCCACTACTTGGAGACCGGTGTCGACACTGCCGAGCATGTCGACTTGAACGAGAACCTTGAAGCGAGGTAAGTAGCTTCGCCATCGCGGCGCCCAGGAAGCTCCGTGGCCCAGGAAAGCTCGTCGGCTTACTCAGCGCCACGGGGAGTGGAACGAGGACGTGACTAACATGCGGTTTTTCCTATCGGGTAGGATTAAGAACCCGCTCAAAGGCATCCCCCGCGAGAAATTGATGCGCGACGTCGAGGCTTTCGCCCACGAGAAGAACCTGGTCGAGTACATCCCGGTTCTGCGCAAGGGCGCGCTCGTCGCCCAGAACCCCAACGATTTCGAGGACATAGATGGCGAGGAGGCCCTCGACGAAGTTGAGAAGACCGTCCTCCGCGAGGAGATCACTCATCGGTGGCGCATGCCCGCGCGCTTGTTCCTAACCATCGCGACCTGCTCCATCGGCGCTGCCGTCCAGGGTTGGGATCAGACGGGAAGTAATGGTGCTAACATCTTCTTCCCCGACTACTACGGTATCGGTTCCAAGTCTGTCAGAGACGAAATTGTGAGCTCAATCTGAATAATATTGTAGGATGATTGGCTAACTGTTGATGAAGCTGGTCGGTCTTATTAACTCTGGTCCTTACATCGGAAGTTCCTTCATTGGATGCTGGCTTTCGGATCCTATTAACAACTGGATCGGTCGTCGTGGTGTCATTTTCGTCTCGGCGCACTTTTGTCTCTGGCCTGTCATTGGTTCTGCGTTCTGCCACACATGGGGACAGCAATTGGCTTGCCGTCTTCTCATGGGTATCGGCATGGGTGTGAAAGCCTCTACTGGTTCGTATACCCCTTATTCTTGTTAACCCTATATTTGCCGCGCTAACATTCAGAAGTACCTATCTACGCCGCCGAAAACGCTCCAGCTTCGATCCGAGGTGCTCTGGTTATGTCCTGGCAGATGTGGACCGCTTTCGGTATCTTCCTCGGAACCGCCATTAACCTTGCCGTCTTCTACCACCCGCTTAACTGGAGACTGATGTTGGGCGCTCCATTCATCCCGGCCGTCCCCCTAGTGTGCTTGATCTACCTGTGCCCCGAGTCTCCGCGTTGGTACATGAAGAAGAACCGATACGCAGACGCCTGGAAGTCGATGCTCAAGCTGCGGAACAATTCGATCCAAGTTGCCAGGGATATCTACTATATCCATGCTCAACTAGCCATCGAGAAAGAGATCATCAGCAAGACCAACTACATCACCCGTTTCACTCAGCTATTCACCGTACCCCGTGTGCGCCGTGCCAACATCGCCGCCTTCACCGTCATGATTGCCCAGCAGATGTGCGGCATCAACATCATCGCGTTCTACTCGACCACCATCTTCGTCAATGCCAACTACACGCAATTCCAGGCCATGCTCTGCTCCTTTGGATTCGGTCTCGTCAACTGGCTCTTCGCATTCCCCGCTTTCTGGACCATCGACACGTTCGGACGACGATCGCTGCTTCTCTTCACCTTCCCTCAGATGATGTGGACTTTGCTCGCAGCTGGATTGTGCACTCTGATACCCGAGGGTATGACGAGGACCGCCTTAGTCGCTCTTTTCATCTTCATGTTCGCCGCGTTCTACTCGCCCGGTGAAGGACCCGTACCCTTTACCTACAGTGCCGAGGTCTACCCCCTATCCCATCGCGAGGTCGGTATGGGGTTCGCCGTCGCCACCTGTCTGTTCTGGGCCGCCGTCCTCGGCATAACGTTCCCCTTCATCCTGGAGAAGCTGGACACGGTCGGCGCGTTCGGCCTGTACGCGGGCTTCAACCTGGTGGCGTTCGTCATGATCTTCTTCCTGGTGCCGGAGACGAAGCAGCGCACGCTCGAGGAGCTCGACTACGTGTTCGCGGTGCCCAACCGCAAGTTCGCCGCCTACCAGGTCACCAAGGCCCTGCCCTGGTGGTTCAAGCGCTACGTCTTCTTCCAGCGCAGCGCCGTGCTCGAGCCCCTGTACCACAAGGACGACGAGGCGGAGCCGCACCACCACCTTCGCCAGAAGTCGTGAGCTTTCTTTCTTTCATCAAGGCAAGGGAAAGTCGGGAACGAGGAACGAAGGAACGAGAAAAGGGGAAAAAAAGGGAAATGCGTGCGTGTTGTTCGTTTACGGGTTGGTTCGGTACATGCACACAGGTTGCAGAAGGGAATCGAGGGATTTTTATGTGCTTAAGTCACACAATCGTTGAAATGCAGATGCGGATTTTGCGAATACCCCCATATTTTACCTGCTAGATTATCTATAGGGATTCCTTAGACAAATCTATCTTCTTTATATTTCAACAAGGCAGAGCCGTCGCGAACATGCTCGCTTACTTCGCTGCCGTGACGTTAAGATTTCATGTTGGTTCTGACATCCCCAATAAATATGCAAGATGGCATGCAAGATCTCACGTTGGTTACCTAGATTTGGACCTCGTCGATCGTGCCACTCGACAGACCAAGTAGGCACATTGCAACGTCCGCGCCCGGAAATAAAGCGGAAGGGGGCATGGTAGTCGAATTTCCGGCCCCGGAGGCGGGACCTTGACCGACGTGATGTCCCCTTACCCAGGCAAAGCTGCGACAGATCGCTCTGCACTGCACGTAGAGAAGCTATTGCAAATAGAGCTGTGGATGTTTTCACGGAGTAGGCGTCGAGTGGCACGAAACCGTAGTCTTCAAGTTTTATTCCCACCCTTTTATAGATAGCTGCCTGTCGATCTGCCAATGATTATTAAAGCGCACCACTTCCTGCATAGCTTTATAAGATAGGTATGAACTCAATCTGCATTGCTTTCCTCTTCACCCCAACCGCGATCGTTGTTATACAATATTCTGCTTGCTCAGTGCTTGCCTAAGCCCAGGTACACAGTATGCCAACTTTAATCTACCTACGCACCTTCGTAAGTATGGAATTCCCTCTATATTGAATGCTAAGCAATAGTTCCATTTCCGTATTACATGTAATTACCTAACGGATGGAAGAACGGGGTCAAGTCAAAAGAATTCAGGGTTGGATGAGAGGCGTAAACCATCCGACCCACCAGAACTCCCCCCGCATATATGGGTCTGAATAGCTTCAAAATACTCGGATACTCTATTTCACTAAAAATCAAAAACAACTTTTTTTGAAAGCATACCCAGAGAAATAATAGGCCTGAAAATGACGGTAGCATGTTGAATCAAGTGTCAAAAATCCCAATTCTAGTAGTTGCGCGAATTAAATGTGTCATATGGGTTTTTCATTAGTACCTATGTAGGTAAAATTCTGCATACACCTCTCATTTCTATGATATACAACACGGGAACGGTTTCCAAATTTGAACTAACCTTGAGTAGCTCTTGAAGGAAGAGTCATGGGACTCCTATCTCTACATCTCTCGTCGTCGTCTATACCTGATCATAATTGGAGAGATTTCACTTAATTTAGTTCTATATTTCGTCTGATGCCTTCTTAATCATTCAATCCTTTGATTTCACGTTTCTATGGGCACCTATATAGGTAACTACCACAGTCCCTCTAGTATAAGTCGAGTGAACCAAGTATTAAGGCATGGCGCAGAATAATAGGTGACCCTGAAATTCCTCGCGGCGGACAGTTCGTATGCCTCTCCACACCCCCCGATCATATCCTATCAACCATCTTTCTTACCACCCTGAGCTTCCTTGACCTCGGTCTCTTTGGATGCTTGGTCCTCTCGGGCTTTTGCCTTCTTTTCTTTTTTCTCTACTTTAACACGCGCCTTCTTCTCCTCTCGAGTCTCTTTAGGGCGACTAGCAGCGGCCTGTGCATCTTGCCGTCTTCTAATTTGAGTCTGGGGATCAACTTGGGTACGGATAGCCCCCCGATTTTTCATCCTATTCACAGTCGCGGCCACAGTCATCTTGTTCTAGAGAAATTATATTAGAGCCGGTAACTTTCCCGTAGTGGTGATCAAGTAATCCAAACGATCGGCTTAAGGGTTAATTTGATTGTCGAGTTATTGGCGTTAGAGGTGATGCATTGGGAATGGTAGCTTTGCAAGATATATTTTCTTATGTGTGGACAGGTTGTGTGATATATAGGTAGATTCTTGAAGTAGAATGACCTCAATCCAGAGGTTCAAATTTTACTGTGTATTGTCATTCGCATACAGGGTCATCTTCATACTCTATGACTGTATAGAAATGTCTTTTAACATTAACGACTTCATAGAGTCAAAGCAATCATTGCATTAAACTCAGTGTAAATACATAATAAATGACTGTCATATGCCATGCTTATATACATAAGACCCGCCTTGTTGTTTCCAAGCACATATAAGGTGTAATTAATCTAATTCGGGTCGTTTCTTTTTCATTCAGCTTCTTTGCTTCAGCCTCCCAAGATAAAGTTCCATATAAAAGGGGTGCTAGATATCAGGTAGGTACTTGAATAGTTATTGCTAGAATATTGTTTTCTGGATCACACGCAAGCTTGCATATAGGGTCGGAGTACAAATAGCAGGTAGTCTCCCAAAGCCTATAAACACGTACTTTAATATAGGAGTTAAATATTTAGGAAGCTTAGTGTCACTATCTCCCCTATCATTGACAATGTTATTATCATGAACACCAGGCACTGTCTCTTAATCTTAGACTTCTAGTTGTTTCCCCATGAAATATGTTAGATGTTACTAATATCACAAGGAAGAGCGGATGTCAATCAAGGACCCAATGGTTTCTCTCTATTTAAAGTGATATTTCCCGTGCATAGAGAATATTCTACAAGTAAGACGCAACCCTGAAATGTTTCATAACTTTTGCCTGAGTACCTATTGCTCAAACCTTGCCTTAACAGTCGCCGCAGATACTAATAGTGTAGCGTTAGTTCGAAAGGTGCTCCAAAAGAAAAGAATGTTCCGTGTTCAGACTTACGCGCTGGAGCTGAATTGGGTACAGCAGTCGGGGTTAGAGCACTCGGCGCATGATCCAACTTGGCGGGCCGCAAGGTTGTTGACGGAGGCATCACGTTCTATCGTATTGCATTAGACGATTATTGTAAGCACTTTAAAGGTTAATTCAAAGCTGACGTACCCACTAACCCAGCCTGGACACCTGCTAGGCAGAGGAGGATAGAAACCAGAGACATGGACGCCTTCATTTTGGATGGCTGATGTAGCTTAGGTAAGACTAGAGTTGGTGAATGGATAGAAGAGTAAGTATTATATCTTTGGATGATGCGATTTATAATGCAATGATGCAAAAAAGAGATTCGATTCCAAGTAGATGAATGGTATATATATTGGTTCTATACGAAACTTACATGGTGGTTTACGTTCATCGACATTACCACAAGTGGTAATCACCCAAGATGGCAATATCATAGCGACTGCCGAAAGCAGTAATGCTGCGGGTTCCCTTACATGCACTTTTCAGCCCTAAATCCATGTCGATCTTCACATAAGAGAAATTTCCCCAGGAAAGGCGGTAAACGACGATTCGTTTACATCAAGATGTATGAAGAGCTTGAAGAAGTGATAAGATTTAATAGGGTTAATGTTGACTTAATTGCTAAACTACCTATTAAACTGCATGCACTTTATGGGCCAACGCTTTAAAGCTAACAGGTATAACTAACGTTCATCTCTAATTAAGTAACTTACAGTCATGTTCCAAGCTTATGCGGACGCCTCACTTTTAAACTTAAACACCTTACACACAACAGGTACAACACTAAACGTATTATTAAATAAATAATAAACCTCTCAACTTTAAACCGCGACTACACACTTAAATCATAGCCGATTTATGTGAATTTAGGCGCATTATAAGCGGCAATTGTTAAAGAATAAAGGAGTTTACTTCGGAGTAGCGTGCTTTTATGGTTGGCGTTGTGGCAGGCGGGGTAACGCGTATTGCCGTGGGAGAGGCGCTGGGCTACAAGCAGCAAACTATAACGGAGTAAGTAAAACGCTTCAAAGAATATCATACGTTTAATTCTAGGCTTAGAAATTTTTAGCAGCTACTGCTGAATGTATAAGCTCGAGATTGGCTTATTCAGTTTGCTCGTTAGCGGCTTTGTGTAACGTATTACGAGATCCGAAGGTACTTACGCACCCGCGCCAGCAACAGCACACTGCGGCGGCGATTGCGCGAACGCCACTTAAAAAAATGGCGCGCGGCTAAGAGAATAGCATTAACGCCCAATGATGCTACTAAAAGGCTTGCGTTTTGTGAAGAATATTTAACAAAGGAGGTGCTGTAGCGGCTGATAGCGGCTATGTTTTTAAACGAAGTTACCGTTAAGAATAAACCCGGTATTTTCTTATCTCAGCGAGCTCAGACCAGAGCCCCGCTTTTGCTTTGTACCCTTCTAGCCACACCAATTTTTAACCAATCAAAAGCGCGCACACAAAAGCA